ATAGTTTTGAAAACAATTTTTGGGATAGAGAGAGAGTAATTTTTGAGTTAGAGTGGGAGTTTTGAAAATAATTTTTTTGAGATAGAGTGAGGAGTTTTGAAAATAATTTTTTGAGATAGAGAGAGAGTTTTGAAAATAATTTTTTGAGATAGAGGGAGTGTTTTGAAAATAATTTTTGAGAGAGAGTAAGAGTTTTTAAAATCATTTTTTAAGATAGAGAGAGAGTTTTGAAAAAAAAAAATTGGGATTGAGAGAGTTTTAATAAAATATTTTGAGATAGAGACAGTTTAGAAAATAATATTTTGGGATAGAGGGAGTGATTCGAAAATAATTTTTTGAGATAGAGAGAGTTTTGATAAAAAAAAAAAAATTTTTTGATAGAGGGATAGTTTTGAAAATAATTTTTTTTTGGGATAGAGGGAGTGATTCGAAAATAATTTTTTGAGATAGAGAGAGTTTTGATAAAAAAAAAATTTTTTTGATAGAGGGATAGTTTTGAAAATAATTTTTTTTTGGATAGAGAGAGATTAATTTTTGAGTTAGAGTGGGAGTTTTGAAAATAAATTTTTTAAAATAGAGTGAGGAGTTTTGGAAATAATTTTTTGAGATAGAGAGATAGTTTTGCAAATAATTTTTTGAGATAGAGGGAGTGATTCGAAAATAATTTTTTGAGATAGAGAGAGTTTTGATAAAAAAAAAATTGAGATAGAGGGAAACTTTTGAAAATAATTTTTTGGGATAGAGAGAGAGTAAATTTTGAGTTAGAGTGGGAGTTTTGAAAATAATTTTTGGAGAGAGAGTAAGAGTTTTTAAAATAATTTTTTGAGATAGAGAGAAAATTTAGAAAATAATTTTTTGGTATAGAGAGAGTGATTGGAAAATAATTTTTTGAGATAGAGAGAGGTTTGATTAAAAAAATTTGAGATAGAGGAATAGTTTTGAAAATAATTTTTTGGGATAGAGAGAGAGAGAGTAAGAGTTTTTAAAATTATTTTTTGAGATAGAGAGAGAGTTTTTAAAATAATTTTTTGGGATAGATGGAGTTATTCGAAAATAATTTTTTGAGATAGAGAGAGTTTTGATAAAAAAAATATTTGAGATAGAGGGATGGTTTTGAAAATAATTTTTTGGGATAGAGAGAGTGTAATTTTTACGTTAGAGCGGGAGTTTTGAAAATAATTTTTTTGAGATAGAGTGAGGAGTTTTGAAAATAATATTTTGAGATAGAGTGAAAATTTTGAAAATAATTTTTTGGGATAGAGAGAGTAATTTTTGAGTTAGAGTGGGAGTTTTGAAATTAATTTTTTTGAGATAGAGTGAGGAGTTTTGAAAATAATTTTTTGAGATAGAGAGAGATTTTTGAAAATAATTTTTTGAGATAGAGGGAGTGTTCTGAAAATAACTTTTGAGAGAGAGAGTAAGAGTTTTTAAAATCATTTTTTTGAGATAGAGAGAGAGTTTTGAAAATAATTTTTTGGGATAGAGGGAGTGATTCGAAAATAATTTTTTGAGATAGAGGGAGTTTTAATAAAAAAAATTTAAGATAGAGGGATAGTTTAGAAAATAATTTTTTGGGATAGAGGGAGCGATTCGAAAATAATTTTTTGAGATAGAGAGAGTTTTGATAAAAAAAAATTTTTAGATAGAGGGATAGTTTTTAAAATAATTTTTTGGGATAGGGAGAAATTAATTTTTGAGATATAGTGGGTGTTTTGAAAATAAGTTTTTTAAAATAGAGTGAGGAGTTTTGAAAATAATTTTTTGAGATATAGAGAAAGTTTTGAAAATAATTTTTTGAGATAGAGGGAGTGATTCGAAAATAATTTTTTAAGATAGAGAGAGTTTTGATAAAAAAAAAATGTGAGATAGAGGGATAGTTTTGAAAATAATTTTTTGGGATAGAGAGAGAGTAAATTTTGAGTTAGAGTGGGAGTTTTGAAAATAATTTTTGGAGAGAGAGTAAGAGTTTTTAAAATAATTTTTTGAGATAGAGAGAAAATTTAGAAAATAATTTTTTGGTATAGAGAGAGTGATTCGAAAATAATTTTTTGAGATAGAGAGATTTTTGATTAAAAAATTTGAGATAGAGGGATAGTTTTGAAAATAATTTTTTGGGATAGAGAGAGAGTAAGAGTTTTTAAAATTATTTTTTGAGATAGAGAAAGAGAGTTTTTAAAATAATTTTTTGGGATAGATGGAGTGATTCGAAAATAATTTTTTGAGATAGAGAGAGTTTTGATAAAAAAAATATTTGAGATAGAGGGATGATTTTTAAAATAATTTTTTGGTATAGAGAGAGAGAGTAATTTTTACGTTAGAGTGGGAGTTTTGAAAATAATTTTTTTGAGTTAGAGTGAGGAGTTTTGAAAATAATTTTTTGAGATAGAGAGAGAGTTTTGAAAATAATTTTTTGAGATAGAGGGAGTGTTTTGAAAATAATTTTTTGAAATAGAGAGAGTTTTGAAAATAATTTTTTGGGATAGAGGGAGTGATTCGAAAATAATTTTTTGAGAGAGAGAGAGTTTTGATAAGAAATTTTGAGATAGAGGGATAGTTTAGAAAATAATTTTTTGAGATAGAGGGAGTGATTCGAAAATAATTTTTTGATATAGAGAGAGTTTTGATAAAAAAAAAATTGGGATAGAGGGATAGATAGTTTTGAAAATAATTTTTTGGGATAGAGAGAGAGTAATTTTTGAGTTAGAGTGGGAGTTTTGAAAATAATTTTTTTGAGATAAAGTGAGAAGTTTTGAAAATAATTTTTTGAGATAGAGAGAAAGTTTTGAAAATATTTTTTCGGGATAGAGGAAGTGATTCGAAAATAATTTTTTGAGATAGAGATAGTTTTGATAAAATATTTTGAGATAGAGGGATAATTTTGAAAATAATTTTTTGGGATAGAAAGAGAGTGATTTTTGAGTTAGAGTGGGAGTTTTGAAAATAATTTTTTTGAGATAGAGTGAGGAGTTTTGAAAATAATTTTTGGAGAGAGAGTAAGAGTTTTTAAAATAATTTTTTGAGATAGAGAGAAAGTTTTGAAAATAATTTTTTGGGATAGAGTGATTCGAAAATAATTTTTTGAGATAGAGAGAGTTTTGATTAAAAAAAATTGAGATAGAGCGATAGTTTTGAAAATAATTTTTTGGGATAGAGAGAAAGTACTTTTTGAGTTAGAGTGAGGAGTTTTGAAAATAATTTTTTGAGATAGAGAGAGAGTTTTGAAAATAATTTTTTGAGATAGAGGGAGTGTTTTGAAAATAATTTTTTGAGAGAGAGGAAGAGTTTTTAAAATTATTTTTTGAGATAGAGAGAGAGTTTAGAAAATAATTTTTTGGCATAGAGGGAGTGATTCGAAAATAAATTTTTGAGATAGAGAGAGTTTTGATAAATAAAATTTGAGATAGAGGGGTAGTTTTGAAAACAATTTTTTGGGATAGAGAGAGTAATTTTTGAGTTAGATTGGGAGTTTTGAAAATAATTTTTTTGAGATAGAGTGAGGAGTTTTGAAAATAATTTTTTGAGATAGAGAGAGGAGTTTTGAAAATAATTTTTAGAGATAGAGAGAGAGTTTTGAAAATAATTTTTTGAGAGAGTGTAAGAGTTTTTAAAATCATTTTTTGAGATAGAGAGTTTTTAAAATAATTTTTTGGAATAGATGGAGTGATTCGAAAATAATTTTTTGAGATATAGAGAGTTTTGATAAAAAAAAAAATTAGATAGAGGGATGGTTTTGAAAAAAAAAATTTGGGATAGAGAGAGAGAGTAATTTTTGAGTTAGAGTGAGGAGTTTTGAAAATAATTTTTTGAGATAGAGAGAAATTTTGAAAATAATTTTTTGAGTTTGAGGGGATGATTCGAAAATAATTTTTTGAGATAGAGATATTTTTGATAAAATATTTTGAGATATAGGGATAGTTTTGAAAATAATTTTTTGGGATAGAAAGAGAGTAATTTTTGAGTTAGAGTGAGAGTTTTGAAAATAATTTTTTTGAGATATAGTGAGGAGTTTTGAAAATAATTTTTGGAGAGAGTGTAAGAGTTTTTAAAATAATTTTTTGAGATAGAGAGAAAGTTTTGAAAATAATGTTTTGGGATAGATGGAGTGATTCGAAAATAATTTTTTGAGATAGAGAGAGTTTTGATAAAAATATTTTGAGATAGAGGGATAGTTTTGAAAATAATTTTTTGGGATAGAAACAGAGTAATTTTTGAGTTAGAGTGGGAGTTTTGAAAATAATTTTTTTGAGATAGAGTGAGGAGTTTTGAAAATAATTTTTGGAGGGAGAGTAAGAGTTTTGAAAATAATTTTTTGAGATAGAGTGAGTTTTGATAAAAAAAAAAAATTTTGAGATAGAGAGATAGTTTTGAAAATAATTTTTTGAGATAGAGAGAGAGTTTTGAAAATAATTTTTTGAGATAGAGGGATTGATTCGAAAATAATTTTTTGAGATAGAGAGAGTTTTGATATAAAATTTTGAGATAGAGGGATAGTTTTGAAAATAATTTTTTGGATAGAGAGAGAGTTTTGCAAATAATTTTTTGAGATAGAGGGAGTGTTTTGAAAATAATTTTTTGAGAGAGAGTAAGAGTTTTTAAAATTATTTTTGAGATAGAGAGAGAGTTTTGAAAATAATTTTTTGGGATAGAGTGAGTGATTCGAAAATAATTTTTTGAGATAGAGAGAGTTTTGAAAATAATTTTTGAGATAGAGGGAGTATTTTGAAAATAATTTTTTGAGTTAGAGGGTGAGTTTTGAAAATCATTTTTTGAGTTATAGTGAGGAGTTTTGAAAATCATTTTTTGAGATAGGGAGAGAAGTTTTGAAAATAATTTTTTGGAACAGAGGGAGTATTTTTTGAGTTAGAGTGAGTTTTGAAAATAATTTTTTGGGATAGAGAGTGAGTCAAACAAAGAATCTAACACCACACAGTAACACATCTAACATTTATAGAAGCTCAAACTCATTAATCAAAGAGTATAAATAACAGAAGATTATTTACCTCTGCTTCCTTGTATACATCTCCAGCATCAATATCTTCAATCTTCTGCTTCAGTAATTTAATGTTCAGTCCACAAGCAGCCTATGCAAAAACAATAAAAGAGCAAAGAAAACTCCAATTATTCAATCAACAGAAACAAACTATTGAATAGGGAAATTATAGGCAAGAAAACACCCAAAAATTGCTTTATTCCCTCAACTGCAAATCTGCAATTCATTTACATTAGGCAAGAAAATGCCCAAAAATTAGTTTCTGATCTACAGAGACAAATGTCTCTTATAAAATTTCATCTTGATTACTCCATCAAATAAATTGAAAGACTCTTTTACATACATCAAATTAGAAACACTTTAGTAAATCATGAAGACAAAAATCAAAAGAAATGCATTCCATTAGGAGTAAACAAACACCCAAAAGATCTGACTTTTTAACAAAGAATATTTCTGGTCTGATCTATAAATTACTCCAAATCAAATAAACTTACAGACTAATTGGCTTTTAACACTCTTTGTTTTCATACTTCAAATCAGAAAAATTGCAAGAAACGCATTCCATTAGGTAACAAACACCCCAAAAAAAAAAGGTTTTTAACACAGAATGTTTCTGATCTATAAGGACAAGAGTCTCTTATGGATTTAATCTTAATTACTCCAAAGCAAATAAATTTACATAAAATTTTGACTTCTAATAATCTTAGTTTTCATACATCAACTCAGAAACACATTAGTAACTCATGAAAATAAAGATTGAAAAAACCCAATCAAGAGACTATCAAACAGTTCATGAGCAGTCAAGGACACAACTCCCCAGTCCTGGATTAAGGTGAAACGAGTCCTAAAATCGGAAAACCAAGAAAATCAAGAAACCCAAATAACCTTTATCAACCCATCAATCGAGCGAGATTAAAGAATCATAGTAGTAATAAAATCTTCGAAATCAGATATATGATTACCTCCTCTATTTTGCTGTTGAACCGTGGGGGTCTTGAAGCCATTCTTTCCGATATGCCTCGGAAAATCAAATCGTCTTCTTTCTGGGTATCTCGCAGTCCTTCCTCTTCCAACTCTCTCTGAGATCTTTCTCTATATCTAGAAACAAGGAACAAGCCCGATTAGAAGAGTTGAGGGCGCCCCTTTTAAAGCTGTGGAATAGGCGCTTCAACGGTCTTATGTTTTTGAAATCACAGCCATCTAAGGTATTGAGGATAGTTTTGTTCTTAAGAGAGCGGCGGTGATAATATGATTAGAGGGAGGAATAAGAAAAAGAGAGATTGGCGGCTGCGAGTGGCGACCGGCGAGGAGATACCATGCGCCGACTTAGGGGAGAAATAAAATTTTGAACACGCCGACTCCCCCAACGGATAAATTAATCCGTTGAGAGATCAATTAATCCGTTGAGAGGGTTTAACCTTTTTTAAAAGGTAAACATTTGTCCTGTAATAATTATTCTAAAAACTGTAAATATTTTTTTCGATCAAGAGGAGGGGTGGACCCTAGCAAAACTAATTGCTCTCACTACGCGACCAAGTTGCACGCATAATTTCACGATCAAGCATGTCCTCCATATTAGATGGGCAATAATCAAGTTCTCTCCAGTTTGAATTCATCATCGTCCCCAAAGAGGCCGCAGCATCCGCAATCTCGTTCTGCTCCCGTAAGATGTTTCGAATAGTAACTTTCCAGTCTCGTGTGAGCCATTGCCTGGCTTCTTCAACATACATGCATATAGGCCCTCTCAGTTCGGTATTATTAGTGATCCACTGTGTGACTGTCTTTGCATCTGATTGGAGCTCCAGATCCTTAACTGTAAATATTAATTAAGAATAAAAATTTTATTATTGAGAAAATATAATATTTTTATATTTTGATATAAAAGTATTACAATATATGAAAAATGCACTATTTACTTTGACATATGCATACTACATAGTTTAATATTGCAATGAAAACAAATTTATCCATTAAAACACAAATTTATCAATTGAAAAAAATATAATAAGCACATTTTAATAATTAAAAAATACTTACTAAATTTAAATTTTATATTTGTGTATATAATTTTAAAATTTATTTTTTATATAGTTGAAATTGTTTTAAAATAATTAGAAATAATATACTACGGAGTAATAAATAATTTTACGTAATATAAAAAAATTCAAATATTTATATAATACGAATTATTTTATTTTGAATATTTTAAAATGAGTTTATATTATGTAATTTAAAATTTTATTTTTATTTTTTTATAATATATTTGAAAAGGAGCAAAGTCCACTTTTAGTCATTGACTATTGTGGCATACGAAAGGAGATTAATTGAGCCTTACTTTACCAAGGCAAATTATGCCTTGGAAACGTGTTCACCGAGAATGGTGAACATAAGTCTAAACGACGTCGTTTTTAGGCAAAAAAAAAAAAAAAAAAAATCGCGGATGTGAAGTTAACGGCGCGCGTTTGATCAAATTATGATTTTTCTGTTATGAGATTATGAATGTAATGTAAATTCATAATCTCATAACAGAAAATTCATAATCGCATAAAAGTAAAATATTTATTAAATTATGAATTTTCTGTTATGAGATTATGAATGTAATGTAAATTCATAATCTCATAACAGAAAATTCATAATTTCATAACAGAAAATTCATAATCTCATAACAGAAAATTCATAATCTTATAACTGAAAATTCATAATCTTATAACAGAAAATCCATAATCTCATGGTTCCAAAGTGAATGTGTAGGCATGGTTCCAAAGTGAATGTGCAGACATGGATTCATAATTTATGAGTGTCCGTGATTTCAGACGGGAATGTGTAGGCATGGTTCCAAAGTGAATGTGCAGGCATGAATTCATAATTTATGAATGTCCGAAATCATTGCTCACCTCAAATTAAAGTGAAATCGCAAAATGTGAAAATGAAGAAGAAAAGTCACGCAATTAATTAAGAAAAGAAAAAAAAAAGAGAAAAAAAGATAACGGTATACTAACACCGTTGGAACCGTGTTCACCATGAATGGTGAACACAGTTCCATGGCATAACGATTCCTTTACCTCTTATTGGGCCAGTTCAATAAGAAAGGAGATTAGTCTGAGTATGATAAAAGCTAAGAAAAATGTCTCGATTAGGGTCTATTCAGAACACCTCATGATCTACTATGTTTGACTGGTCAAATAAGTCAAACATTCATAGATAAGTAATTTTTCAAACACTCCATTGTATTTCTTTTTAATTAGTTGGTTGTGTCCAAAAAAAAAAATGATAATAATCATCAACATCTAAATGGAATTAGATTGGTTCCCCAAATTATAATTTTACAATTATTTTCCAATTTGCATCCTTCTCCCACATATTTTCTCATTTAATTTTGTTTCATATTTAATCTTTATTTTTATTGAATAATATCTTACACTTTGCTAAATAAAGTAGATTACATTTATTTTTAGTATATTTAAAATAAAGCAAAAAGGGATATAATAAGTTTGATAAATATATAAATTTCAAAATTTGTAAAATTTATAAAAATACTCATTTTTTCTTTTCTTTTTTTCTTCCGTTTTCTACCATTAAATCTAATGGACAGATCATATTTGTTCACAATTCTTACATGCATTTTTCCACAAATCAAAGAAGAATGATTTGTCCATCTTTAAACAAGATTTCATCTTATTATTTGAAAAGGTATGTAGTGTATGTAATTACAAAGAGTATAAATTGAAAGTAGGTGCGTGTTTCCTGATATGATCTTCGTTATCCAGCAAGCAATTTGGCAAAAAGCCTAAAGTGACATTCCCATGACTCCCATTCACTAAAAGCTTTAGCATCAAAAAATTTACAAGACAACCAAACATGTTAGTGGTATACATGTATACCCCCAAAAAGGAAAAAAAAATAATAAATAATAAATAAATAAATAAATAAATAATAATAATAATAATAATAATAATAATAATAATAATAATAATAATAATAATAATAATAATAATAATAATAATAATAATAATAATGAAGAGCACAAGCAGAGATATACATCAACTCATGAACCTGTGTAGCTTCACTTATGATCATCACATTCTAATTACCGAAGCTACTTGAAATGTAGCATATATATATATATATATATATATATATATATATATATATATATATATATATATATATATATATATATTATATTTTCCCTTTGCCATTTATTTATTTGTCATTTATATATATTTTTCCCTATATATATTATTTAACTTCTATAATTCTCAATTTTCGATTCTTTGCTTCCGCATTATTCCGCTATATTCCTAACAAGGAAAACAATACAATCTCCTAAAACTGGTCTAAGGATCTCCTAATTGAGATAATGTGTCTCCAAGTTTCATGTAGTACTTGGCTTCGGCCGATCACCTAGGTCGAATCCTACCACTTGAATTGAGTATGAATACTAGCTAGACCGCTTGTGTATCCAACCCATCAATTATTATTTCACAATTTTTTATAGAGTTGATATAACATCCCATCATAGTCAAATATGAATTTTAATGAATATATTTTCTATAAACAATTTATAGTTTAATAGCATAAGTGCACGGTTCAAATTAAGAACAGACAAATTCAATTCGTATTTTCTTGCAATGCAATTTTTTTCTGTCTGTGAAAATTTCACCAGAGCTTCTTCTACTTCTAATAGGCCATGAACTAGATCAGAATCATTCTCAACGAGTCAATAGGGAGTGATCCCATTTTTTTCATTGGGTCCGGGTAAAAGACCAAAGATCTTGAGCGACCATAAAGAAATATCATAAATTTCATCATGCTCATTCCAAGTTCAAAGGACCATTTATACAAATAAGAATTCCCTCCGTTACTTAATTTCCTCTTCAGATATACAAATATAGAATATAATCTACACCAGTCTCTGTTAAAATATAAGAATTATATATATCATTTAAGGCAAGTAATAAGTACCAAAAGTGATAGGATATTTTCTTTAATTTGTGTATATAAGGTTCAAGTATAAATCTCACTTTGATCAATGTTTAGAATTTTATGTTTTATCTAAAGTACGTAACAAGTTTTAATGATTAAAATAATTCTAATCTAAAAATGTTAGTTTTGTCTAAAGAATTACGTTAATTCTAGAAATGTTTCATTGACTATTGACATTTATTAATTTTTATCTCTAATTTTCAATTAGATCATAAATGATCCCTTAACGATTGATATTTACAAATTTTCATCATCGACTTTCAATTTAACCATAAATGGTCCATCTACTATTGATTTTGTTTCAAATTTGATCATTTAGTTAAATATCCATTTAGAAAACATTAAATTTAAAGGTAATAATGTAAAAATTGGTAAATGTTAATAGTCAAGGAATTTCTAACTCTCTTTAGGCTAATTAATATGCCATTCCCACTAAAAATTGAACTTAGAAACCTTGCAATTATCAAGTTAACAATATGATCAACCAACTTGACTGAATTGCCCTCAAAAAATGTAGAAATGTAGCTTGTCACCGAAAAACCCTAGTGATGAAAACTTCATGAGAACTCTTTTATATAATGTATGGTGTAATTAATATGAAAGCATAACTCTCATGACAATAACAAAATGAAATTCTAATGTTACATGCAAATTTGCATGAGATTGCCGATGTGCCATGCAATTTATTAAGAGTATAAAATAAATATAACAAATTTGTTAAACATTCCCAATTCTCTTGTAAAAGTATGCTTCTTCAATATGTTTGTTTTTTTTTTTTTTTTCATCGAGTGTACCCACATTGAGTTGGTTTGTTGAATTTAATTTAGGGGTGCAGGTTCAAAGAGTAAGATCTTTTGACTTGTGTCTCCACCCAATGCAGTATTTTGAATTAAGCCTTCTAAGAATAGAATAATTATTTGGAGTGAAAGTGAAAAACTGCTTTAGGACTATAAAAGATGGGCTACATTTATGAAAATCATGTACTCAACAAAGTTAGACAATAGTTACATAATAGATCTTTAGGAATGTTATATATAATTCCTGAAAAGGAAAGAAAAAGACAAGCGATCAATATTTTACACAAGCAACACAAATTTGAAAATTTTGAATAAAGTTGAAATGCATCTACGGAGAAAGAAAAAAAAATATCTTTAAGTATTAATAACTATCATAAATTATGTTGAAGTTCAATTCAAAGTCTTTCAAAAATGTCTAAACGTACTGGATATGATTAATGATATATTCTGAACAATCATATATTTCAATACAAGTTACAAGTGCATGTAGCATTCACTGTTGAAAATTATGGAATATAATTTACGACTACTTGAAAGTGATATTAAATCAAGTTGAAAGCAAAAAGTGGTCGGAAATAGCAACAAAGGTTTTTCCGGATACCGAAAGTGGTCGGAACAAGGCTTTCGACTTGATTTAAGATCACTTTCAGGTGGTCGGAAATTCCATAATTTCCAGTAGTGATTGTATGTGTATATATATATATATATATATATATATATATATATATATATATATATATATCAGAACAGTTTGTATATATTAAATTTAAACTTTTAAAATAATTTTTAGGTATAAAACCTCACATTACAACTAAGAAAAACTATGAAAAAGGAGCATTAAACATTTTTATAATTCACAACAAAATATGATTATCTAAAAGTTTGATGTGCCTAATACAATCAACATGTACGTACTACCTTCAATATATATAATGTTGCCGTACGAGACAATAAGACCAATATAATCTTGATGTCTTAAAAAAAAAAAAAAGATCAATCTTGACTGCTTCCATGTACAACATTTGCATGAGAAGTTGAGAACCTAACTCTCATGCACTAACAAAATGAAAATCCAATGTTACATACAATTTTGCATGAGATTGACCGCTTTGTTATGCACTAATATATATTTGAAGGTAAAAATAACAAATTAGATTAACATTCCTGATTCTCTCGTAAAAGTATGACTCTTCAATATATGTGTTTTTTCAATCTAGAGTACATACTAATTTTAATTGAGTTAAATTTGAGACGTTGGAAGAAATTAAATTAAAATATTGAAAGTTGATCAAATAAGATCTGATTCAACCAAAATGGGGTTACGTTGTGTATTGCAACATTATTAGATGGGTCTATGTTTGTTTGAGGAAATGCAACCAACCTATGGCCAGTCACAAAGTCTAGAACAGTAATAAAAAACGATGCATAAAAACAACTTTCTTCGTTCCTATATAGACCAACAATGGAGAAGTCTATTCAGAGATCTTCCTCCACAATCTTCAGCAGCCTCAGTGGCCTCAGTGACCGTGGAGGAGTGCGGCCATGCAGATATGGAAGCAGTGGTACGGTGAATTTGTTCCAAAAATTAAAACTCTTTGTGCGTCATGATTCCATGAATGTGAGCTTGGCTAAAGAAAGGAAGACCGGCCAGTATTGAGAGTTAGAAATAGTTAAAATATAGAAATTTAACGGCAGGTGTGATTATAATTTATGAAAATGTTCTATTGAATTTTAGCATTCCGTTTTGAATCAATCTTGTTCTTAATTAAGTGTGGATTTGCACCATTTTCATATTGTTTTACAAATTTATGTTGTTCTGACCTTTCACTTTTGAAATTTTAATTTTAAATAAGGTTTAAAATTCATCCACTGGGAATAAGGGAAACCATATATGCAGGGAAAAAAGAAAAGTTAAAGTATTAATCTCTATGATAGATTATGGTCTTCAACCCTTTTGTTTTAACTAGCTAGTTCATCCCATGAGATTTTGTTTTTGTGCATAAAATTACTTATACTAGTCTCTGGTCTATTAAAATACAACAATAAAATCATATACACCATGTTTTATGTGTATATACAAGGTCTAACTGTCTAAGTATAAATAATCTCATTTTGATCAATATTTAGAATTTTATGTTTTTTTATCTAAACTACTTACACACGTTATAATGAATAAAATAATTATAATCTAAAAAGTGTTAGTTTTGTCTAAAAATTATAATGAATCAAATAATTTTAGGGACGTTTGATACTATACCTTTCTATCAATTAAATTCTTGGAGAAATATTTGATGAGAATAACTTTAATTTGCAAGAAAATTAATTAATATGTTTGTTTCGTGTTAATTACCAACGAAACATAAGAATTAAATTACCTAAAAAATTAATTAATATGTTTGTTTCTTTTAATAATAAATTAAAAGCTAACCATTCGGTTCGGGTTGGATTGGTTTGGGTTACCCAAACCGACATGTCCATCCCTAATGTGTAATGTATCATTGTTATATACAACATTTTAAAAAATATATAACGAATAATTAATAGTTTAATAAATCAATTATAAATTAATAAATCATATGCCAAAAAAAAAGTGCAATTTACAACAAGAATATTCAAAATATAAAATAATACATATGTATAAAAGTGTTGAGAAAGACAATCTTTTTCGATAAACACTGTTGGTATCCTTCGTATATATGGTGGGAGAGACAAACTTATTATATTTATAAAACTCTTTTAACTTGGCACAAAAAAAAATAAATACGTAACTAAATAAATTCGATAAATTCACAATTTTCTTCTTTTGGAGAGTTTTCACTTCCATTCGTACTTTTTTTTTTATTTAAATATTAGATGGTATATTTCTAGATAATTCTTTTTTGCCACCTTTGTAGCAACACCAAATGAGCAAACAACTTTCATTTTGAACTTTCTATTGGTATTATGTAACCTTCTTTTATGTAATTGATGAAATGTAAACTACTCAATTTTTTATTTATTTTTTGTGACCAGAGAAACTCACAGTCACTATCTGAGAGTATATATTAATTAGAAAATTTCCAGAGTAACTGGCTCTAACTAAGAAAGCCTTCCGAGAATGATTGACGATTACTTTCAGAGTCAAACTTATAATCTTGTGATTACAAAATCAACCGCCTGAAAACCTGAAGTTACCCCAAACCAATGGTGGAGCCTCAATGGAAACAGTGGGACAGCTGCCTCCACTCCCCCACCCCATAATTATGTGTGTGTGTAAATATAAATATAAATATATATATATATATCAAAGTTTAGATATTAGCTTTACTCTTTTGTCTCCACTGGAAAAGATTTCTGGATCCGCCAATACCCCAAACCATTCAATTTGTTACTTTTAGCACTAGTTGTTAAGGAAGGGCATCAATAAACTTGTGTTAGTTTGCCATTGCTATCTATTAGGTTTCCACTTTCCATCTATGGCTTTCTGCTACTGAAATCTTCAATGTTGTTTCATAGAACCAAAGAAAACAGAGTTCTGTGCGATATCGTAGTTATTACAGTTATTGGTTAACATGCTGAGATCAGCTTTCACTCCCATATTCACGACCTTTCCCTCCAACACCAAGCCTCCCATGCTGGCGCGCACGATAATCAACGCAGTAACGAAATCCCCAGAAACTGTTCGACGAAATGCCTCAATCGATTTTCCAACCCTGCATAAGCTCCCCCCAACGTCAGCTTACGTTCACCTCCCATTCTGCCGGAAGCGCTGCCACTACTGCGACTTCCCCATCCTAGCCCTCGGCGCCTCCTCTTCCCGGCCAGATGATGACCCGCGAATTGTCGACTACGTTGAACTCATTTGCAGAGAAATTAAGGCCACCCCGGTAAACTCAAACACCAATCCGCCTCTCGAAACTGTCTTTTTCGGTGGCGGGACACCTTCTCTCGTGCCCCCTCGGCTGGTTTCGTTAGTCCTGGACGCATTGAATTCAAAATTCGGGTTGTGCTGCGGTGCTGAAATATCAATGGAGATGGACCCGGGAACATTTGGCGCTGTGAAGTTGAAGGAGATGATGAAGTTGGGAGTGAACAGAGTGTCTTTGGGAGTTCAGGCCTTTCAGGAGGAGCTGCTGAAAGCTTGTGGTAGAGCTCACGGTTTGAAGGAGGTTCATGAGGCTATAGAGACTGTTGGGTTATGCGGGGTTGAGAATTGGAGCATGGATCTCATATCGTCTCTTCCGCTTCAGACACCACAAATGTGGGAAGAAAGCTTGAGGCGCACCATTGAAGTGCAGCCTACTCATGTTTCAGTATATGATTTACAAGTTGAACAAGGCACCAAATTTGGGATACTGTGAGTTTCATGACTAGCCTCTCTTTAATCTGAAAATTTGATCATATAGTTCTGAATACTAAAGAGCTTCTTCCATCAATGAAGAATATCACCATTAGCCCTGGGGATGGGAGTGTGGGAGTTTCACTCTCTTGTGAGGTGGCTTCGCGCACCAGACACTAGTCCTCCCACCTAATGGGCCGCTGAATTTACCCCTCCACAATCCTGTCGGGTCAAGGTGTGAGGGCCTCGGGGAGACGGATTTCGCCTTTTGGGCAAGAAGATCTAAATTTGTTCTTTAAGTAAATGAAAATGTTGAATTGAGGCCATTTATTAGAAAGGGTAAATAGTTCTTCGATCTTTCCTTTGTTCATCAAGAAAGTAAAGTTGATCAAAACCATGGGAATAATAACTTAGTATAACCAGTTTGTAATGAGGAACAATCAGCTGGGGTTTGAGTGTGTTTCTCAGAATGTCAATTTCATGCATTAAAGTTTTGTTTTTGCAGGTATACTCCTGGAGAGTTCCCCTTGCCTTCTGAAAACCAATCTGCCGAGTTTTATAGAATGGCTTCTAAGATGCTATCTGAAGCTGGTTTTGACCATTATGAGATCAGTAGCTACTGCAAGACTGGTTACAAGTGCAAGCACAACTTTACATACTGGGAAAACAAACCTTTCTATGCTTTTGGACTCGGGGCAGCCAGTTTCCTCAACGGATCAAGGTTTTCCAGGCCAAGGAAGCTCAAAGACTACACAGGATATGTGCAGAGTTTAGAGGCTGGAACAGTAAATTGCTTTGGGAACAATAATGTGGATCCTCAGGACATAGCCATGGATGTTGTCATGCTCTCGCTGAGAACTGCAAGGGGTTTGGATTTGAAGTCTTTTGGTGAAGCCTTTGGTAGCTCAACTGTTCTCTCCCTTTGTGATGTCTATAAACCATATATGGAAAGTGGCCATATACTGTGCTTGGATGAGCAGAGGAGAAACATTACAGCAGATGAATTCAGTACTTTGTTAACTGATAAGTGCAAGATCAAAGACAAACTTGCTTTCATTCGTCTCAGTGACCCTGATGGTTTTTTACTATCCAATGAGTTGATATCTCTCGCGTTTCGTGCTATATCTCCTGACTGAGTGCTTCTAGTCTTTTTGGAGTGCATAAAAGAGTAATACTTCAGGTACTCTCAAAAGTTAAAAACTTTAATGTGACATACTATGATTAATTGATTATACTTTGATGAAAATAGTTATATTTTGATAACGACATACTGTGATTAGTTAATTATACTTTGATGTGACATGCTGTGATTAGTTGATTATACTTTGTGCGACATACTATGATTAATTGATTATACTTTGATGAAAATAGTTATATTTTGATAACGACATACTGTGATTAGTTAATTATACTTTGATGTGACATGCTGTGATTAGTTGATTATACTTTGATGTGACATAATATGATTACTTGATTATGTAAGGAAACTAGCCCATACTCTTATTTTTGATATGATGGTATATGTATAAATTGTGAATATTACAATACATGCGAGTCCTGGCACAAAAGAATTAGCCTATGGAGAGATTTGTTCTGTTTGCACTCTGAACCATAAGCTCATTTGTAATATCTCAAGCAAAATTGTTACTTGGGTGTTTATAGAAATGTTACAACAAAAACCATGGTCAATTTGAGCCCCACTTTTCCATAAGATCATTTAATCCCAAGATGCCCGGGATGAACCTTCGATGTTGAACCATGGTCAAAGAAATCCGAGTTGCGTTAAGTAGGCTTTGCTTTTTTTCCAACTTTTGCGATGCGCTTAAGATCCTGTGTTCCGCTTCTCATTTCTCTGCAGCATAAACATGACATTTCATACACAGGGTAAAGTTTCGTGAAGATGGAAATATTTAGAGGCTGGAAATGGCACCTTTGATAGAGATAAACAATTAGGTAGAATATCGGGAGCAGCATCAATGTTAATACTGAAGCTGCCAAGTAGAACCTATTTGTATGTTTCTGTATAGAAAGAAAAAAAAGTAGTAAATCAATCAATATATTTGATCTCTATTCTTTTCTCTTTTTAATTTTTTTTTTTTTTTAATAATATGTACTAAAATGAATCCTTACCTTGCCTCCTCTAGGAAAAAGTTTTTTCTGACCTGAGCAAGAATGGGCATCACAGAATTGGTGCAAAAACAACTCTACAAAAGAAAACACATAAAAAGTTACTAAAACCAACAATCAGCAGTTTTTATATTCTAGCCTTTATGGAGTGGGACACGGTACCATGAAGACGACTTGCTTTTGGACCCTGGTGAACGGGAAAACAGCCGTTTGCAAGACTCTGTATAGAAGAAGGGAAGTATTAACAAAGTAACCTCAAAGCAAAACTTGGTCGAAGTGCAGGACAACCTCACATAAATGACGATTCCTTGAAGTAGACGCAGGATTGCATTTGGTCTTCCGAGATTTTGACTCATCCAAAACGTCACAATGCAGTGCTCCACACAAATCGGCCAAGCACTTGCTATGACTCTGAAATCAATGAGAGCATATCAATCTTTCATCCTAATTAGTATGGCAGAGGAAATGACGATTCTTAGTACATAGCATGTAAGTAATATGATTAGATTCAACCGGAAAAAAATTGTAAAAATGTCCTAATTGCACATATTTTACTTGTTTAATGGTTTAATTATGAAGTATATAATTTTATTTTTTTTCTCTTTCAAAAAAGTACTTACAACATTTAGAAGATTAGAATGTCTGTTGTCAAAATGCTGATCGAGAAATTTTTCAGCTCGGAAACTTTTTTTGCAGTATCCACAGCGCCATTCATTTATATCCACATGAATCTTGTGATCCTCCTGATCTCTGTAAATGTCATTACTGGGATGAAGTCTACATTTCGTTGAAAGCTCATACTTTTCTTGTTCCAGGAATGGCATCAAATACTGCAAAGTACCCAAAATCGAGTTTCACTCTGTTAATCAAAACAAAGATACCGAAATCATCTTTGTGCAAGGTTGATTTCCACATACCTCCTGTATAACTTTCCATGCAACTCGACTTCTCTCTCTGGAGCAATGAATTTCGTGAACACCTGACTGCTCTTGGTCAAGAATTCTAAGCAAGCATCAAATCAGACAATTTTGCTAGATAAAGTGTATTTATTTCAATATTATGGCTCTTAATGGATACCATTTCATATTGAATTTCATCTTCAAAATCCAAAGTACATATAGCAGCATGGCACTACATTTAACAGAAAACAAGACATTAAAACCACAGAATCTTACCTTGACGATAATTCCTCTACCTCCTGCACCACAATAAAACCAAAACTTCAGAACTAGAATAATTGTGCATGACACCAAAAAAGGACAAGCTTCATATGCAGGAATGCAGGATTCAAGAAACCAAAACCAAAAAAAAAAAACTTTAAGACTTAACAAGAAATTTTAAAAACAAAACAAAAAGATTACAAGTTCCTATTGGTATTCTCAATTTGAACCAGTCAGTTATGGATAACCTAGCTGGTTTACCTCGCTAGCGTCACAAGGCAAGGTTTACCGAGTGCAGGCTATGGCTACGGTTTCCTTCGTCACCCAAAAAAAAACAAAAAGGTGTATCACTGAATCTTCAATTGGGTGTCTGGTGATGGAATCAAAATCAAGAATTTAAGTGAACAAGGCTCTTTATGAGATGATAATATCAGAAACGAAATCTTAATGAAAAATTATAGGTTCTTCCCCAACTAATCACTTAATAAGGGCTATTGAGCTGCTCCATTGACTCAAGAATCAATTTTGAAAATAAAAATTTATGCGCATACAGACAAACAAACCCGAGTGGATTATAATCGAAATTGAATCATAATTAAATTGCAGAGGAAAATTCACAGAGAAGTCATCAATACAACAAAAATTTAAGTGATAAAGAATTGAATTGTGGGGAGAACCTGATCTAACTGAGCAAGAACTGGTGAAGAACGGCACGCGAAGAGGAGAAGCAGAAGAAGAAGACAAAATCTATGCGCTAACAATTTTACTTCTTCTCTCCCACTGTTTCGCATCTTTGCCCTCTCTCTTCTTCAAGATTCACCCAATTTCTTTCGTCTTTCTCCGCTTTCCTCCTTCCCCTATTTTCTACTCTTCGTTTCCATACATGCTTGCCCTTTCTTATTTCTCAACTTACTCTAATTTTCCTCAAACTATGAATTAATTGCATATTTGCATACCAACCAAAATCAATTTAAGTGGAATAATTTTAGACTCAAAAAAAAAAAAAACAAAAAAAACAAAGTGGAAATAATTTTAAAATATAGATTTGTATATCTGTCTTAAAAAAAGTGATTGAATAAGTGAAATATAATTCTTATATTTAAAAGTTATGAGTTTAGTTCTTATTCATCGTGAAAGTAGCTAGTCATATCAATTTCATTATCACAATAAGCCTTTTGTTTTGCAAACAAAAATGAATAGCATTTATATGCAACAGTGATGAAAAATTCACTTTCTTAATTAAAACACGTATATTTTGTGTGACATTAATGGATGTTGATAACTATAAATTTACTATCTTGCTAATGTGAGTCTATGGCATCAAGATGATAATATTTTAATCTTTTAAACTTTAATATTATGAGAGAAAAATGTACATTATAGTTCAAAATGTTAAATATAAAACTTTTTTTTTTTAATATTAAATATAGAAGTAGACCATATTTCTGGTTAAACCCTTAAGAATCCTAAGAGAAAGGGGCTCCAAACCCCTCTACCAAAGCCTCAGCCTAGTGATAAAGGTTTGTATGGCCATTAGAAGACATTTCTAATTACAAAAACACATGGGATCAAATGGAAAGAAACAACATGGCCTTAAAGCGAGTCTCGACACACAAGGATAGTTTACAAAGAAGGTGGAGCAGGAGGGGTAGCCACAATTTGACAAAAAGACCCATTAGTTTGAGAAAGAAGACAAGACCTATCATTAGATATAAATAGGCCGCCATGAGCTAAGAGGCCATAGAAGGGGGTCGATCATGAGAGAGTCTAGACATCTTATAAACTTATGATTAGTAGCTTGTAAACTTGTTCTCTTGACAAAAAGAAAAATTTTCTCACTTTTTTTCATTATTCCATTCCAATTTCCTTTATAATATTTGTGATTGCCTTGTGCTTAAGAGAATAATCTCAAGTTAAAAAAAAAAAAAAACAAAAAACAAAAAAAACAAAAAAAATCCCATCACAAAGCATATGCAGAATTTAACTACTTCACACATACTTTCTACCATTGCGAGACGTTTGATTGGAGGGAATTACAATTTCATTCTTACGTAATTTCAAAGACAAGTAAATTCCTTTGTTTGGTTGGAGGAAATTGCAATTTCCTTATTTTCATAGAATTAGAATCTCATGGTTCATTTGGTATTTCAATTCCATGATTTTTAGGAATAAAAAAATAACATTGAGACAAAATTACGTCTCATTTTTTAACTTAAAATTAATGTTCGACTTCTCCTTCTCGATCATAGCGTGATGAACCTTTCCTATGATATTTTTTGGATGTAAGCTTTTAAAAAACTTAACATTTTATTTAATTAGGTTGTGAATTTTTATTTTTATGAAGTTTATTTGGATGTAAGCTTCTAAAGCTTAACATTTGACAAAAAAATTGCATGAAAATTAATTAGAGTCTATCTAATTTAAGAGATATTGTAGATGAGTGGACGAGTGGTATTTGAATATGTTTTGTGTGTGTGTGTGTGTTTGAATATGTAGATGGGTCCAAGAGATATTTCAACACAGCAGAGCAGTATGACGTGTTTTAAATTTATTTTGGGGGTAAAATAGAAAATATTAAATTTAGACTATTTCTGAAAACTCAGGAATAGCCTAATACCAGGCTGCCAGGAATCTCTATTCTCCTTACAAGAGGAATATGTCATTCACATAAACATTGTTTCTGAGAATAGAAGATTTTACCAAATAAAAGAATAAATCTATTACTTATTCCATTCAAGCTTATTGCGCGAATCAAACGTACCATTATAATAGAGAATAGAGTTGCGAATAGATTGTTCAAGAATCCCAAATTAAAACTAATTGCCTAATTGGAGTTACATCTACTCTTCATTACACTTGCTGCATGTGAAATGGCCCATAGTGATATATACGGATAGTTATGCTGTGCACATCCGTATGCACCATGCATGGTGCATACGGATGCAAAAACGACGTCGTTTTATTAAAAACGTGTGTTTCCCTTTTAAAAAAAAAATTCAAGTTCGATTCCCAGCAACAACATTATGTTGTTCATTCATTCTGAAATTTTAGTTCATAGATAATGGAATTTTAGTTCATTGATTTTGGAATTATAGTTCATCGATTCTGGAATTGTAGTTCATCGATTCTAAAATTTTAGTTCATAGATTCTGGAATTTTTAGTTCATAGATTAGATTCTGGAATTTTAGTTCATAGATTCTGGAATTTTAGTTCGTCGATTCTGGAATTATAGTTCATCGATTCTGGAATTTTAGTTCATATGTTGTTGCTGGGAATCGAACCTGAATTTTTTTTTTTAAGGGGAGACACACATTTTCAATAAAACACGTCGTTTTCGCATTTGTATGCACCATGCATGGTGCATACGGACGCACAACATAATTTGCCGATATATACTAATTAACACATTTGGGCTTAATTAAAGATTTCTAAAACTATAACAAATTAACGATCATGTGATCCAATACATATTTGAAAGAATAAAGATCTACTACAACATACACAGAGTGTTATGCTGTGCAACCGTGTGCACATTGTATGGTGCAGACAATTGCAAAAACGACGTAATTTTGACGTCCGACTTTTTTTAAAAGAAAAAAAATCAGTTTCGATTGCCGTTAACGGCGTTATATTGTGCATAATTAATTTGAACTATATAGTTCATTCATTCTGGATATATAATTCAAATTATGCACAACTTAATGCTGTTAATGACAATCAAAACTGTTTTTTTTTTTTTTAAGTCGGACGCGTCGTTTTTAATCAAAACGATACCGTTTTTGCAATCGTGTGCACCATGCATGATGCATACGGTTGCACGGCATAATTTGCGAATATACACCTAAGACCTAACAAGGCATTGAAAATTCACATTATTTCAACCTGACTTGCAATTGTCATTATCTCTTGAAACATTATTATTATTATTATTTTTTTTTTTTGAAAATAAACATTATTTTTATTTACTTAATCATATATTATGCGTTTCGATTATTGAAATATGTACTTTTCTTTAACAATTTATTTATAAATTTCATTATTAGTTCTATTTAAGACTGATGACATGCTTTACTCTTGGTATAGTCTTTGTTTCTAGATTGTATGTACCCAAAAATTAAAAAAAAAAAAAAAAAAAAAAAAAAAAAAAAAAAAAAGCCAAATATATAAAGAGGAGAGGATTTTATTTTTATTTTGGACCAAAGAAGAGACTTGTGAAAGGGATCAATTTTTTGACACTACATTTAACAATAAATCAACTTTGATCTGAAAGAGTTGAACAAGAATGAGCAAAAATGAGATTTTGGTGATTTGACAGACTAAATTTATTTTTAACGTATCATAAGTTCATTTATTTTTAATGTATTTATTATATTTTATATTATTAATCTTCAGTATGTCTGACTAAAGTGAGTAAATTTCTTGTGCGCATCGATATTTAGCATTGTCTGTTGAGCCATTGAGTCTCTGTAATTTACATTCTCTCAAATACTCTGTCAGATCAAAATGTGGAGGTCCTTTGGGAGTGAGAATTCAACCTTTTGAGAGAAGATTAATAATATTGACAAATCATCTAGGAACACTAATTGTGACTAATGCAGCCTTTGTACTTTGCATATATACTATTTCCTAATATCTTAAATTGACTAAACCTTTTAATAATAAAAATAAATAATTAACCCAAGCATGATTAATTGATAAAACTTTACCTTTTTAAAAAGATGTATTTAAGAGTGTTGCCCTATATACTAATGTTTAAGTTTACTATTCCCACTATCACATTTTACTTATCATATTTACTATTCATTAATTAGTTAAACTAGTTCTTTCTTCTTTGCATATTTTCTTTATAATTTTTTGTGTTTAATAATATTTTAAATTTTAAATATAGTTTCTAAATATATAAATATTATATACTAATACTAAACTTAATATTATATATATAAAAAAAAATTCAATCAAACCTTATTAGTCGAATCAGCCACATAAAATGAGACAGATGAAATATATTACTCCGTAATTCTTATTTTACACATTTTTAAGGTGCCATTAAATTATTGATGTGAGTTAATAATATTTTTATAGACTTATTCCCAAATGCCAAGTACCATTGACATAGCCAAGGGGATGGATTTGCACTGTTGTTCACTTAAAGCAATGCCGTATACTTTACTCCATGATTCAAAGCAATCATTATACTATTGATCAAGATCAATATAACATAATGAATCGGGTTATTTTTAGAGTATTACATGTTTATTTTAATTTATGATACGTTAAAAATAAATTTATACTAAAATATAATTTTTTGAAAGTTATTGGCTCTATTATATTGTAGTATCTGTTCTAAAATATAATAAATACATTAAAAATAAATAAACTTTTATCAGGGTGCAGTTTGTAAGGTAGACTTCCGGGTGCACGATATAATTTGCATACTCAAAGCTAGCTAACTATGATCAATAATTGTGTTGATATTACATGATAGAGTCTAAGTAAGTATTTTATATTTAATTATATCAAGTAATACCTATTGCCTAAATACTTATGTTGTGGAGGAGAATATTAAATTTTAATATATATTATTTTTAGTATATTGAATGTTCATTTATTAGTAATTCAATAAATTCTATATTTATTATATTAAATAGTATTAGCAGAGTAAAACAAATTGATTTGTGACTAATGTTGAAAATATCGTTAGGCGGCCTCTAGGCTCCGGGGGACCGCCTAGGGCGCCTAAAACGCCTAGACGGACGCCTAGAACGCCTAGGCGGGCGCGTAGAGCGCCTAGGCGGGCGCCTAGGTCGCTTAGGAGGTCGAGTGCCTAGGCGCGATTTTTGCAACACTGTTTGTAACTATTGGAATCAAAATGTGATTTAACTTTGGCATAAAGTAGAAAATTGGAAGGTCAGTTTCATCTCTTAGCGGCTTAGCTTTATCATCTACTCAGTAGTCTCACGTGGTCGGCCGCCGGCAACGTTAGTATACGATTGATTGTCTGTTTAATGATCAATCACACGGTCCGTATATATTTGATTGTCGGCTTCTCAATTCTTAATTATTCAATTAAGCTAATCTCATTACAATTTACAGCGACTCCTTCTTTTTTTTTTTTTTTCTTCTTGTCGTCTATCTACACAGTAATTATTTCATTATTGTTTCACTTCAAACTTAAGAGGGTGTGTTGGGAAATCGATGAAAATGTTTTTAAAAAAGAGTCATTTTTTAGAAAAAAAAAATTAAATTTTAGTGTTTGGTTGTATTATAAAAAATATCTTTGCGTGTTTGGTCTATTTTCTGAAAAATAAGCAGAATTGTATACTTTTTTAGCCGAATTGTAAAATTAAAATTTTAACTATTGTCTAGTTTCCGACGAAAATCGATCTGATTTGTATTGATTTTCGGCGGAAACCAGTCAAGGTAGAAAGCAGAGGATGGTAGAAGAAAGCCGAGGAAGTAGCCAGGAAGAAGAAGCAGTTGGATCTGAAAAATGACTCCTCCACCCACCCCTGAAAAAAAAAAAAAGTCATTTTTCAGAAAAATCAAACTATTATCCATTTGACCGAAAATCATTTTTCATTGACTTCAATTTTCACCCATTCCTAAACACTGAAAATCTAAAAAATAATTTTTAGAATTCATCTTCCTAATAATAATTCAGTAAAATATCTAATTTTTTTAGGTTAATATAAATAAATCATTAAACTACATAGTCTATTAATAAGGATATGATAGTATGAAATCACTATTAGTTGCAATAATATTGATGATGATGATAAATGATTTTTAATTCATGTCACATATGTCTAGTCACTTGTAATGATGGTACAACACTACAACATTAATATTAATATAAGTTAATAAATCGATGTACTTGCTGCCTAAAAAATGTTAATCAAATTGACACTACAATGTAGGGATTCCACTAAATTTAAAAATATTTTATTGTGAGGTTCTAAATTACAAATAACATAATAAGACTGCAGATTCTCTTGTAAAGTTTGTGCTTCGATTTGAGAGGTCTATTTATGTTTGTCCAACCTCCAGCCTTGAAGATATTTTGTTTTGAGGGTCGGTTTAGTCCTCTTAAACTTTAATTTAAATTATGATTAGACGTACTTAGTTATTTGTTTTTCTTCTTAAATTTTCTCCGTCCTTTTATTTTTATTTTTTAAAGAAGAATACTAGTTTATTGTGAGTTCCTTGGTATTATTATTTGTATGTATATAATTTAATTATATAATCAACTTTCAAAAAAAAAAAAAATATAATCAAAAGTGTTTAATATGTGTCAAATTCATGGTCAAATATGGCTTAATTAGGAGTTCAAAATCTAAATAAGAAATGCCTGTGAATAAACCCACTTAGGGGTTAAAAGACAAATTATAATGTAGACGTTTTCACCACATAGATCATTTTTTTTTTAACCCTTCATATAAAAAGGTCATCGACTTCACATCATTAGGGGACTTTTCTCTGTAACAACTCAAACACACTTCATTTCATTTATCGCTATACGTTTCACTCTATCAATATCCATAGATCAACAATATTATAATTATTGTTTAAAAGAACACTAATCAAAAAGTTCTTTGTTGAAAATTTATTGTGTGTATTATATTCCCAATTGGAATTAGAAATAGGGCATAAAGTCAAATTTGAATTTTGAGTCATTTTCCAATTTGACATGCTGCTAGCTAGGATGATTTGTTTGGATGGAATCAAGGATTGGGATGCAATTTGAAGGCCACTTTTATGGGTTGAAGTCACTTCAACCAAACTCCATTATAATAACTTATTTCTACATGATCCACATTCACTAAATAAATTAATTAAGTAAAATTACAATTTAAAAATGTAAGTTTAATCTTGTATGTTAGATTATTATCTAGTAACTTTTTGAATTTAATATAATTAAAAAAAATCTATCTACTAATACTAAATTATACTTCATATAATATGCTAAAAACCTTGTGGTCGAGTGACATAATTTTTGAAATAACAGGTTCGAACTCCAGTGAGGACAATGACTCTTTGTGCTCCATTATATTTAAGAATATTTTAGACATTTCAAAGTAATTATCTCCATTTACACAACAACAACAAAAACAACAACAATAACAACAACAACAATAAAATCTCACTAGTTATTTCAAAAAAAAAAAAAAAAAGAGTTAATTATCGATTTGGTCCCTTGACTATTAAGATTTCACTAATCTGGTCCTCGACTTTCAAAATTTCTCAATTTAGTCCCAGACTATGCTTTTTTTTACCTGAAATGGTCCTAACCGTTAGGCGTTCGTTAACTTGGGACCAAGTTGGTAATTTTTCATAGTCGAGGGACCATTTTAATCATCGCATGCACCATTTTCTCTGAAAGTTAATTGCTGAAATGGTCTCTTGACTATAGCAAAATTACCAATTTGGTCCCGAGTTAACGGACATCTAACGGCTAGGACCATTTCGAATAAAAAATATAGTCAGGGACTAAATTGAAAAATTTTAAAAGTCGAGAACCAGATTAGTAAAATCTAGTCGAGAGACCAAACTGGTAATTAACTCCATTAAAAAAAAAAAAAAAAAAAAAAAAAAAAAAAAAAACTCACTAGTAAAGTAGTAATCAAAACGCATGTGGCATTCTTGTAGTTTTCACCAAGTTTAAGTGACCTTTCTTAACAAAATCTCTTAATATAATTCAGAGTTTTATATTCCTATCAAAGGGTCTCTTTCTCTGTGTTCTCTCCTTCTTGTGCTGAGTCACTGAGTGTAAATGAAGAGAGTAAGACAAAAGCATAGGAAGACGATGGATTTCTTCACTTCAAGGTTTGTGTGCCACCACCTGCTTCATATGATGACACTTCCTAGCTGCTTCCTACTTTGTTCTTTGCATTCTCAGTTGTTATATTATATATGATTCTATTGTTCTATAATCTTTTCACCTTTGAGTTTTCCCTCTTTTACTCCGCTGAATGTTTTCTCTGATTTTGTTTCAATTCTGGGTTTACTTTGTCCTTGTTTTGGGTTTTTCTGATTCCTTCGAAAATGGGTTGTTCATCATCTTCCAAAGGTTGGATTTTTATGCTTCCACTTGCTCTCTCTGCTCTATTGAGTACACAATTCTTGAATTTAAGCATGCTTGGGTGAGATAGTACTAGGATGTTTATGCACAAAAAACATAAACATGGTGGATTTTGAGGAGAAAACTGTCAACTATCTTCTCTCTCACTTGTTTATCCACACGAACAGCTCAGTTGGTATCCAGATGTTAGATTATATGCACAAGTGGTAGATTGGAGTTGTTATACCATGGACCTGGGTCCCGCTTACAAGGTGGACTCGGGTCAGAAATACACAATTTATATACTGAATGTTCACAATTTATCTTTTACAAAATTGTGAACATTTTGTATGAAAATTTGTGTATTTTGGACCCAGGTCCACCTTGCAAGGTGGACTCGGGTCCACAGAATAATTTGCCCATAGATTGTAGGAAGGCCACAGTGCGGGAGTTATAACTAATGTGGTGGGGCTGCTGAGTCACCGTGATTTGCCCTCCATATTGTTAGGTTGGGTGTGGGCCCTTGAGGAGGGATTTTGCCTTTTGGGCTAAGTTGTTGATCACTGTGGTCTGTGGGATTATAATATTTTTTAAAACTTTTTAAACAATGGGATCTGCTAAATGTGGGGTGACTTTCAATTCCACTCATTATATCATTAAGAGGGATAGATGGATAGTTAATTATTTGAAGTTTCTACAGTATCATGTTCTTAATGATTGGACCAAAATGTTTATGCCCAAGTTGGGAGTTAAACTTTTTTGGATTACATCTCCATAGAAAATTCTGATGATCATGTATCTAAACAACAGCAAGAGGCAATCTGAATTGTTGGATTAACTTAACAATGTTGTCTGTTTCCTGCAGATGTTTCTAAAGTTTGTAGCTTTAAATGTCGGTTCTGCATAATTTGTTGCTTATCACACAACTTATGACTACTTGAGCTTGTCAAGAACCTAGCAAAGAGCCATAGAGGTAAGAGGGTAAGAGCAAGTTTGAGCCTTCGGGATTTCATGTCGAATGCAATGTACTATCAGCCTGTACAAAAGGCGGAGACCTATTGTCTGCCTCAAATTCAGAATTTAGACCACCAGCCGAGCTTTACTAACAATGGAGGTAATCACGCCATTCATCCTCATTGTGTCAGTTATTACACCGAGTTTTCCTTGATGAGTTGGGCTCACGGCCTTCACAACTCATCGTCAACTGTGAGTTTCTCGCCGAATGGGAGTTCTGTTTCCCAACAAGAATCTCACCCGTACCCATTTGGGGACGAGGTGAGTGATCTTGATATCAAAGACAAGTTAAGGGAATTGGAAAGCGTAATGCTTGGACCTGGTTCGGATATTGTGGATAGTTATGCAAATGCCTTAGTTTCCCCAGAAATAGACAGCTGGGAGCAAATGATTGTGGCCATTCCCCGAGGGGACTTGAAACAGCTCCTCGTTGCCTGTGCGAAAGCAGTGTCGGATAACGATTTCTCGACAGCGGAATCGCTAATGCCCGAGCTATGCCAAATGGTATCTGTGTCGGGGGAGCCAATTCAGCGGCTAGGAGCATACATGTTAGAAGGGCTTGTTGCCCGGTTGGCTGTTAAATCCCCGAGATGCAAGAAACCATCGAGCTTCGAGCTGCTTTCTTCTATGCATATCCTGAACGAGGTTTGCCCTTACTTCAAATTCGGGTACATGGCAGCTAATGGCGCGATTGCAGAAGCAATGAAAGACGAGAAAAGAGTTCACATTATCGATTTCCAAATCGGGCAAGGCAGCCAGTGGGTGACTCTAATCCAAGCTTTTGCTGCTAGGCCAGGAGGGCCACCCGAGATTCGAATAACGGGAATAGACGATTCCACATCGGCTTATGCCCGCAGGGGAGGACTAAGCATCGTGGGGAGGAATCTATCTAAACTCGCGGAGTCCTTCAAAGTGCCTTTCCAGTTCCACGCTGCCACCATGCCAGGCTGCACAGTTCTTCAACTCGAAAACCTGGGAATTCAACCCGGGGAACCACTGGCTGTGAACTTCGCTTTCATGCTACACCATACGCCAGATAATCACCGGGACCAGCTACTTAGGCTAGTTAAGAGCCAGAACCCCAAGGTAGTTACTCTCGTTGAGCATGAATCTCAATCCAACACTGCTGCTTTCTACCCTCGGTTCCTCGAAGCCTTGGACTATTACAGCGCGATGTTTGAGTCTCTGGATATGACCCTTCCGAGGAACCACAAACAGCGCATCAACGTGGAGCAGCATTGCCTGGCGAGAGATGTTGTCAACATAATAGCGTGCGAGGGAACTGAGAGGGTGAAGAGGCATGAGCTTCTTGATAAGTGGAAGTCGCGGTTCAGAATGGCTGGTTTTAGTCCATACCCTTTGAGTTCTTTGGTGAATGGTACAATCAAAACACTGTTGGAAAACTACTCTGAGGAATATAGGCTGGAAGAAAGAGATGGAGCCCTTTATCTTGGCTGGAGGAATAGAGATTTGGTTGCTTCCTGTGCTTGGAAGTGAGTAGTACTGTTCTCTTTCCAATGTAAAATAGCAAAGAAAGATGGAACCTCTAGTTCTCTCTGTATTATCTTTTTACTTCTGTAATAGCTAAAAGCCAGTCAGTAATAGTTGGAATGTTGGGATTACCAAATAATACAGTGATTTGTATGTAAATTAATACTTTGTATAACCAGCTTGGCTGGCGTGAGTGACTGTGTACTCTTGTTGACCTTAAGAGAGGTCGGGAGTTCAAACCTCCTCTCGTGGTACGGGTTTAAAGGTGCCTCCTACAGTTAGGGGTTTCACCTAAAAGGAAAGTCCAACATTAAAACAATCTGCGGTAACAAGATGATTCCTCGCACGCTAACAAGAAGGTTTAAATTGGTTAAATTTGACTCTTGAGTAGTTTATTGGTCTTCTTCGTTTCAATCGTTCAACAATGCACAACTTAGGCTGGTTTATCACTTTTTTTGTACAAGTCAACCAGTTATAAGACAACTTACTAACTTAGGTTGATTTACATTCTTAGTCCTTTACCGGCTAGAATTCTAAAACAGGATTTACCCAATGCACACTTTTGAAAAATTAGAGAATAGAAATCACAAGACAAAGTTTACCCATTACACTTTCAAGAAACTAGAGAATAGAAGTAAAGACAAACTATATGCTTGTCAAAATGAGGTAAGGAAAAATAAGTGGGGTAGTATTTCCTTCATTCTTGTAGGTTACCTGCAGCAGGTAATGTGGACTCATCTCTCACTGATATGAAGAGCTGAGGGATTAGCAGAATAGCAATGGTAGAATCAGAACACCATGTTGATGCATGTAGAATACATACAAGCTCAATTCAATAAGCCAGCCAGTAAGATGAGGTATCAAGATTAGATATTTATGACAATCTACATTTGGTTGGTCAATAATATAATTTGTACAATGAATATGAGCTTTTTCCACACCCTGTCACAAACTAAGCAGTTAAATCTATGGACCATAATGATCGGGCAATCGTGATCATAAACCTCAGCGCGATGCTCTAATTCAGCATAGGTATTCCATCTTCAATTAGCACCAATGTGAACAACCATATCGAGGCCCACATGTTTGTTTTCACCTGATTCGGGTCTTGACTCTCCACTTGTGGCATCGCCCTCTCCTGAATTTTGGGTAATAGTCCTAGAAGGTGGTATGTCGTGGTCGTGCTGCCCTTCGTATGTTGTGATAACCACTTTCGGATCATGGGACGCCCTCTCGACGTGTTTCTTCACTGGACACCCTGCATTTGAGCATCTGTAATAGCTCCTAGAAAATTGAGAGTTTAAATTAGAGAGGATTAAATGTTTCTGAAATACGAAAAGTAGAAAGGCCACAGAAAATCAAGTACTCCATATTTGACATAAAGAAAAGCTCCAGTTGTAATACTCCTTCATTGGGTGGGTGGGGGGGGGGGGTGTTTAACCAGTTGTTTTCTTAGGCAATTTGAGTGGCATAACTAATATCATCATTTATCAAACTTGTCTACTACAGAGTAATTAACAACTTCAACAATGTTAAATAATTATCAAACATGTAGCTCGGCATTTTAGATATGTATCATCAAACAGGTAGCTAAGCAACAGATAGTGCCGCATGTATGAGAGAGCAAAATATATGCAACATGGAAGGTAGCTCTCTGAATAAGAAATGGAAGAGAAGTCTGGGATAGTCAAAATTTTCAGAGAGAAGATTGAACCAAGATGACGATAGTCAAGCACACCAAGATTGGCTGTTTTGGGAATTAAAGAATTGGTTTGACTCCTGTTTAAAATATACTGTTTTCTAACCAACCCAATTGATTTTCTATTTGCTGTGTAAAATAATACTATTTTGAGTATTTTCTAACCAACCAATTGATTTTCTATATAATTTGCATTATAATATGATTATTTATGTTGGCATTGATGTAAATTGCATGAATTCCCAACTGTTAGTTTTCACTCTTCACTCCTTAGTTCCACCCCCAACCCCCCCCCCCCCCACCCCACTGCCCTCTGTCACACTTGTGGGTCAACCTCCACAGCTTATCACCAGATTATCTCCATCCATGTCTTTCCAGTTGATTTTGCCTCACTGTACACACCTCTGTATGTGTGTTTCTCACTTTCTTTCTCTTTTTTCTCACCTCCCTCCTTTCCCAATTCCTATAATTTTCCTCGAGGTAAAAAAAAAAAAACAAACAAACAAAAATGTGCTCGAACCTCAAAACCTATAAAAGCAAAATTTTGCAACTACTGCAATCAGATACACAGGTTTAACACTTTCACCATTCTGTGAGAATGCCAATCATGGGTACACCCTGAAGAGACTCTTATGTAGTTATCTTGCTTATGATTATTCACTTCAGGTCACAGTCAGTAAACACAAGATACATGTTCTCTATATCATCCATCCATAGACACATTAGTTTCTTCATACTTTGAAAAGAAAGAAAAAGGGAGAAAGTACTAAAAGCTCACTAATACACATGCAAATAGCACATAGTTTACCAATCAATGCTTGGAATCCATTAGCTTATAAACCACAGGTTAGACAAAGAATTCAGATAAAGGTAACTTTTTATATCTCCATGAGACTACTAGGAGACAAGGAGATGACTACCAAAGTACCAAACGATAACTCATAGAAGTAAAATATACCACATGAAATTAGAGTCCAGAGGTTCAGGCATATAAGCATGTAGTTGCAAGCTTAACTTCTTAGATGCCTTAATACCTATTATATTATTGCAATCACAATGCAACTAATCAAATACAGGAAACTCAAATAAGAAAATGGGAAAGAAGGGACAATTATCTTTTTGGTTAGGAATTAATTAACTTTCCAACATTTGCTCCCAGATGGCATCTTTAGCTGCAAAATAGGACAACAGCTATACAATCGACTAAGTGGGAAGACCTAATCACACACAAATTTCAGAAAAATGTAAAACAAGCTATGAATATGAAATTACTTAAAAGATTCTTCCACCAAAAGAACTATATTTACCTGGGGTTTGGGTTTCCTTTTACTAATTTCTGTCCATACTTGCGCCAGCGGTAGCCATCATTCACTATATCCACCTCACTCATAGTCTGAACAACATGCCTGGGCTCACCATGAGGCTTATTGTCATCAGAACTAGAAAGGCATTTCTTCCTATTGAATAGGCAGTTAACAGTTCGAAATGTATTAGTAGACAGTGGCTGTACACCAGAACTCAAAGGGTAAAAAACAGGAAAAAAGAGAAAAGAAACTAGTGGGTTTGACATACTGCTTTTTTGAATCCGGACCACCACAGTGATCATCCTCATCTCGCAAATTATGTGACTGGAGGACTGAATCCCTTGCACCTATATCAGCCGAAGCAACACCTACTGGTGATGTAATCTGTTTTGGCTCAGGAGTTTCGCACTTTTCCCCCTGTGTAACAGATTGCGTACCTTCACCCAAGAGAATGCTATGTGTATAAGTAAAATTCCTAACTCAACATCAGTCAAAAAGGCACAAAATCTACTCAGCAAACTTGGATTACCTTCAGAAGGAGTCATGATAGGCAAGTCTGGTCTTCTCATTTGGATAGGGAGAATAGTCGGAGCAGATATCTGAGGGCTATTTTGAGGTTTAGGATGTTCATGGTTTCCAATGTAGTTAATTTCTGTGATATGACCATCTTGAGATCTCTCAACTTGCCTCTTTGCCGTGCAATTAGTGTGAGTACATTTATAATAACTCCGAATAAATTCATTTCCTCTAACAAGCTTCTGTCCATACTTTCTCCAGTTGTAACCATCTTCTGATGGTTTTTCAGGGGCTTTTGAAGGAGCACTTCTTTGATCAAATTGTGGTGTGTGGGCACCAATTTCAGGGTTCCTCCTAGGCTGCAATTTATCTAAACCTTTTTCATGTGGTTTGACATAAGTCACTCTTGCTTGATTAGAATGAGTAGCAAGGACCTCCATGCTCTGAATTTGTAATTGCTGTGGATTATCTGAATTCTTTTCAGGAATTACAGAGAGAGCAAGGGTTTCTGACCCACGAATTTTTTCATCGTTACTCTGTTCATGCCCAGTGCCATCAGAATCAGACTCCTTCTTTGGTACAATAGAAACTTGGCTAAACTGTGAAGCAGCATCAGTGTCACTCCCTACGCCCTGTTTCTGCTGAACTTCCTCTCCATCTTTCACTTGAATCCCAGAATGAGAACTTTTTTCCTTCTCCGACTGTGACGATGCAGAACTCCCATTAACAACACCCTGTCTTCGCTGCATATCACTTGGCACAGTTTCACACTTATCAGGAACCCCATCTTTCCTTTCACTTGATTCAGATGCTTCTGCCTTAACATTAGGGCTCAATCTCTTCTGCACCTTACCAGAAACCCCCTCAGCTGTCACCAGTTCATCACTCACTTTGTGTTCTGTCTCCGATTCAAGAGAGCCAGTGTTAGGCTCCCGTTTCGGCTGCAATTTTCCAAGCGAGCCTTCATCTACGCCCTCTTCCATGGGCGTACCCATTAAACCTGAGACACCAAACTCTCATAATCAGCTTACACACACACATCACAGACAAGGTGACAGAACGACAGACATCATAATTCATACCAAGCAAAATTGAAAACAGTCCCCCAAAGAAACTAAACAAAAATAGGTAGGAGAAAGTATAAAAAAAGAAAAATACGATCGTGAATTCGTGAAATGAGATGTTGACACAAATAACCTAGAACTACTAAAAAGCTAAGGAAAGCAGATAAAAACCGAAAATCAATTGCGTGTTTTCATCTTATTTCATCTCCCTTAGCTAGAACACAGGCGTAGAAACTGCGACCCCAAAGTGAATTCAGAAGAAGAAACAGCAGAGAAGTGAGAAACGAAGAGGAAAAACCCTACCCGAAACCGATCGAATTCCGAGCCTCGGAGCTGAGCGTGAGCTTGAGCTTTTCCGATTGAGAAGCGCCGGAGAGAGAGAGTCAGAGCAGCCGTCGATGGCGGAGGAGAGGGAAGGAGGGAGGGAGTAGCAGATTTGACTTGGACCAAGTACTCTTCTTGGTATAATTATTAGCATAAACAAAAACAAAATTGTGTTGGGCAATTTGGGCTACCCAAAAAGAAATACTGAAATCTATAACAGTACAGTAAAAGTAGTATATATGCGTATACGATGTATCTATGTTGTTGTTCACGTGTGCGATTGTCCCAACTCTGCAGATGCTCTCTCACACACACTGTACTTGCTGCTCCCTCAAAGTCAATCCGCATATTTATATCATATTTGATTCTCAAACCGAATTATGCCTTCTTGTCACATTAAAATACACTTACTTTGCTCGCACAGATAGCTCAGTTTTTATAATTTTATACAAACTAAATATTTAATAGGAAGTTAGCACCTTGTGCACAGATGACATGTAGTGACATTTCTCATGTGGGAGGTCATGAGATTGAGTCTCAGTGGAGGCGTTGTTGACTCTTTGTGTGAAAGTATGTTTGATCGGATGCAAATTACGGCGCGAGGCGAGGGTCTATGTCTTCACCTTTTTGTGCTCGGCCCCGACCTAGCTATCTGGATAAGACCCCGAGCACACACATGAGTGAATGGCTAATCAGATATATTCCTACACATGCATTCTCTTCCATAGGCCTATAGGGCCGCCGAGTGCATGAGGGACGTTTTGGCAATTCTCACACTGCTATACTATCGAGCTCGGGAACTTCCGACTCCAGGATTCTCAATCCTTGTCTCGCCCACTTAAAAACATACAACACAATACTAATGCATATACCCGGTAGAATTTATCACATCAATATTGATCCTCTCATTTCTCATTTAAGAGGTCGATTTACCTCCCTATCATCCTATTGAATCGGTCGAAGTATGGAAACTCTTGGGGTAAGAGATTTTGCATTTTGCAAACAACATTAATTGCTATTTTGGATTAATTAATTTAAAATATTTTATTTATTGTATAAAAGTATTAATTTGTTAAATCGCATCTAATGTTTAACACCATAAGTCCATACTAATAAAAAAAAAAATCTGTATTTCTGTTAATTACGCCTTTAACTAATTTGTGAAATAATTAATATACAAAGATATCTTAGATACAATAATAGCATGTAGAGCCACGATCGGTTATTACTATTTAAGAGTAACTATTTTTGACATCATGTTTAAACGATTTAAGTCTTTTTAATTTGGATTAACGTTTTTGATGAATTAACATACAATATTCATTTCACAGAAGCTGAACTCAAGCTCGTGATTAATTCAAAGTACATATTCTTTGAAATCCCGTGAGTGGTGCATTTGCTAACCATGAACATATTCAAAATTGGGGTTATATAAATATAAATTTAGGTATTTAATGGAGTGGATGGGGAGGAATGGAGGATAGAATTTATTAAGTAGTTTGGGTTGGCATACACTATCCTCTATGGTTTTGGTACAAAAAGATTGATTTTCCTTTTAGTAAATTGTAAATAAAATGTGTAAAAAGAATTTGTCTTTAATTAAGATAGAAAATATATAAAGAATATTAACAACCGTTATGCTATGGACCCGTGTCCAGCATGCAGTTAGGCACTGTTATCTTTTTTTTTTTTTTTTTTTTAATTTCAGACCGCTTCGTTATAGGAGTATATGTTCATAATTTTATTACTATATGTTAATAACTGTACATTCATAACTCCATAACTGTACGTTCATAACTCTATAATTGTACATTCATAACTCCATAATTGTACATGCATAACTCCATAACTGTACATTCATAACTCCATAATTGTACATTCATAATTTTCGAAGCTCTATGTTCACAATTTTAGAGCTCTATGTTCATAATTTTATCACTATATGTTCATAATTGTAAGTTCATAATGTCAGAGCTCTTTGTTCATAATTCGATCAATACTTGTACATTCATAATTCCATAACTGTAGATTTATAACTCCATAACTGTAGATTCATAACTCCATAACTGTACATTCATAATCTTCGAAGCTCTATATTCACAATTTTAAAGCTCCATGGTCATAATTTTATCACTATATGTTCATAATGTTAGAGCTCTGTATTCATAATTTCATAATTGCATAACTGTACATTCATAACGGCAATAACGCCGTTAACGGCAAAACACGCGCAATTTTTTTTTTCTTAACTAAATGACGCGTTTTTTTTTTTTAAAAACGACGTCGTTTTGGGCCCGTGTCCACAATTCATTGTGGACACGGGTCCAGGGCATAATTTGCCGAATATTAAGGTGTTGCTCGACAACATATTAATATATGCAAAATATATGTTTTTTTAAAATAGCCATTAACTTTTGTGTTTGATAAAATTTCAAGGCCCGTCTAGCTCAGTTGGTAGAGCGCAAGGCTCTTAACCTTGTGGTCTTGGGTTTGAGCCCCAAGGTGGGCGAAGTTTTTTTCCCGCCTTCTCATTTTGACAATAGCAATTAATGTCATCATTCATATACACATACACATCGTGAGTCGGGTTTACTTTTTTCGAGTAGTTGGCCAAAATATATGTTTGATTGTCAACTTATTTTTCAAATCAACATGACATAAATTATGGAGTATCCCCTTCCTTTAAATCCAAAAAAAAAAACATGATATAAATTAACAACTTATATTCCAAAGTATCTAGACATATATCTATAAATTGTCAAATTGGTCAAATTAATATATACATATTTTTATTTAAAAAAAATAAAAAAATCAACCAAGGTGTAAAACTTAATCTCCACCTATCGTAGTCTAAGTCTAAGCTACCAGACAAGGTGAAAGTAGTTGATCAAACTCACCATGCTCGGTGAGTTGGTAAGTAAGCCAAAGTTATCATTTTCGAAATTAGGAATATTCATATCATAATCCAAAAATTAATATTCAAGGTAAAATGTTCAAATCCTGGTATAATGACATTCATACGATTTTATCAAAGTCAATGTATGTAACATCAATATCAATATATCGGTATAATAACTGTTACTGATACGTACACTCTAAGAGCATGACGTTCTGGTCTCGGAGTTTTATTTCTAAGAGAGGGAAACCATTCATCTAAAAACTATGTACAAAAACAAAACAGATTACAGTGTTTGGTGATCAGTTCCACCAAATCCAGAACCTAGGTCCAGTCTACAAAACAGGCATTAATTGAAAATTATCAAATTGCAGATCTGAGGTAAATTTCGATACTTCAAAACTTGATTGGAAAATCGAGCGGCAATGAGAGTTTCCCTTCGCGTTTCGCATAATATACAGCTATCGCCATTAGAATAATTAAAAGAATGATCCACAAGTTGAATCCTGTAAAGGTGAATGTACAAAATTTGCAGATTAATGCCATGAAACTACAGCTTATTTGATTGGAGTTGAAGGGAACTACATACCTTTTTTATCGGACTTGTCCTTGATAACTGTCACCCTTACACTTGAATCCAATGAGGTAGAGAGCAAAGCCCTACAGAAACCACACGGATCATTTGTTAGGCATGTTGGAGAATGCAGGTGTATGCAAAACCTCCGAATAAAAGATGGTGCAATGTAGTAAGTTATCAGAACCTCGAATCGTCGGAGAACTTCAACGTAGTCACGAGACCAAGATGTGCTTTCTTAACAGTGGTTAGTACTTGTAAGTTGGAACTCAAGATAAGAACATCTCCTTGAATGGTCCCACTGTGCAGTAAATCAACCATAGGTAATTAGGTAAAATAAATCAATCTGTTCAACATATATAGATATCCAAATAAGTCTAGAACATAAGGTAATATCTAGCACTAGATATCATCGTTACTCTTTAGCATACCCAAACACCAATGCTTCTTTCCTTCTTTGGTGCTTTTTCTTGTAATTGTAGAAACAGAAAGTCACTACTATGTGGGCAAATTTCAAAATTAAAGCACCATAATAGCCATATGAAGGGCACTAATACAACTAAAGTGGATAAGATGTCTTACATGACATCCGAGCTACAATAACGGCAAAGTTCAAAATTAATTGAAAAGCCTTAGCTTCATAATCATCACCCATTCTAAAATAGAAGAGTTTGGAATTCAGACTCAAGTAATCATGTTGTTATCAATCTATCTTATCTATTGTTCTATTGATCTCGTCTCTTGCTTATATAGATTGGCTTTTTGCTACCTGTTGGACCCTGCAACTCATTATTTCTTAACAGAATTCATCTATAGTTATTTGTATAGAACAGTGATGCCATATTGCCATTACATAGAAACATACAAAACTCAGGGTGGGAATTTTGCCCAAAGTCTTACATTGCTAGGAGCTTCCCATCAGCTGAAACATTAAAAGCTGAAATTGGGTCACGGGAAACCCATTTTGAGCTCATCCTATTCCATGAAGCAGTGCTCCACTTCACAATACTTCCTCCTTTTCCTACATGTGGATGAACACATCATATGGTTACACAACACTTCACAATTCTTCCTAGATGTTTATTGATAAACTCAGTGAAAACAGAAGTGAGGAAACACCCAATGTTACATATCTACCTTGCATTGCAGTGACATAGAGTGCTTGGTTATTGTCACTACTTCGTGAGAACCTACAAAAGCCTAAAATCTCGTCCTGGTTTTAGGAAAACACATATTGTCAGAGGACTACTGGAATACAGGTAATTTAAGCGGCAAACTAACCAGCAAGTTCATGGGATGACCAATGTACCATGATTCAGTCAAATAAATAAGAAAAACCTGGGATGTATTGACACAATTTTGGAGTATTCCAGAAATATAAAAATGAAGCCAATACATACTTTACAAGTTGAAGGAAAAAATTGGAAACATTCTAAGAGAAAATAGATCTTCCAGATGGCACCGGAAGGTATATATTAAAGAAAGTAGGGATGTGACACATGCTGAACACTGCACTATTGTGCACTCATCAAATAAAATAAAAGTTTAAAGAAATAAAGGGCACATGAAGAAGCAAACTTCTGCAATCAATAGTAGACTACTCCAAGACAAAAAGTTATAAATTAACATAGGGGCATTAAAAAGGGGACATCCAAGCTATTTGAGATAGAGACATTTAATTATTCCAATACATAGAGTGACAAGTTTTTGAACACCAAGGTGTGCAAATGAAGATTGAAATCTTACATTTTCCTTCTGCAAAGAAGCCACTGATGCAGATGTTGAGACATTCCAAACCCTACAAGGGCCACTTCCAGCAGATACAAGAAATTTCCCATCAGGGCTGCAGAGATAATCAAATCAATCCAATCAAAAGCCAAATAGATTGTACAACTTAAAGGCCTTAAAGGTATTGATAGTAATCTAGTATGAAATCAATAATAAAAAGTAACCACTATGAACCTGAAATCTAAATCTTTTACACAAGAATGGGCATTGGCCTCATCAATAATAATTTCCATGCTAGGCCATTTGAAAACTCTCAGCTTGCCATCCTGTTCTGCATAAAAAGCAATAATCAAGAAAACCATGTTTTTGTTTTACTAAAATTTTTTAGCTGCATTGAAAAAATAACAGGAAATGTTGTGAACCATTACACTTTAAAGCAGTAGAAATGAAGACATTTACCTCACCACCAACAGCAAGTAGAGAACCCTCATTGTTAAATGTTAGTGCTAATTGCTGTCCAACGTCTTCCAATTGCTTAAGTAATCTCTCAGATAACTTCACACTTAAAGCACCATCATCTGTGTCACTGCCTGCATCCCACTCAAACCAACTACAAAGGGGAAAAAAAACAGATTAAGTAATATGGTCTAAAAATTCACCCAAAAAAAAAGTATATGCAGTTTGGAAGTTCAAAGGTTGAAAGAGTTAAAAGTATACGGTGTATCACTGTATAAATCAGTTATTACATATCAGCATATACCAAAAGTGCACGGGACAGAGTAAGTGCAAGTTATGTAGATTTTCCTTTCACTATACTAGAGTAAGAAGTTTTTTTCTTCTTTAGTTAAAAAGTAACACTAAGTTAAGATGCTAAAGTCAAAATCACTCAAACTCCTTTCCATACATGTAAATGCTTTATCATAAATAATAATGAAAGTTTACCTGCAACTCTTTGGTAAGGAACAAATAAGACCTTCTCCCCCAGGGTGGACAGTCATCCTGTAAGGCAGATCACTGCCAGTTCCAAGCCTTGCCACCTTAATGGAAATACAGTTCATAGACTTAATATCAAAATTCTTCCTCATAAACAAAATTTAGGATCATGTACCTTCAAGTCCTTTCCAAAGCCATTATTCAACAACTAATAAATAGTTAAGCAAACAGAAAAAGAAACACACCTAAGATTTCAAGAAGCCAGCAATTTAAGGTATTCCTTCAAACTATTCTTCTGTGTCAGTAAAAACCTTTCAGTTTCCATCACATAGTTTTGCTATTTTTGTATTTCAAATTATCATTAAAAGCAAAGCAAGAGTTATCCATATAACTATGTTCTTATGGTGAAATTTCTTTCATTCTAGTGTAACATAAAAGAACTGCAATGACTCAAGCCCAGAAATAAATTATCCTTCAACACTTAATTTGAAGAATAATACAATCTGTAAAAAAAATAATAATAATAATAAAAAGGATTATGTTATTTTTTTCTGTCTCAATGTATTCATATCAATAACAAACTTCGAAGATTTTAGAGTTGAAATATTTTTCAAAGAAATGTTTTCCAGTTTTTCAGGTTTCGGTTTCCTTAGTAGTAAAACTTAGTTTACTCCATATTAAAATAGAGACCGCGGATGAGTTACAGCAAATACAAGTGTAAGCCATTTCCATGAAACTAACCAGCCAAGTAGTCAACAACCATTTCAATTTCATATTATTTCCCCTTATGCCACAAGGGCAGCTTTCTGCATTTCTGGTTTAGTTTAGGTTGTTATGCTTAGGATATGGGAATTGATTCATAAATGGGATGAAGGCAATCAAGGCATCATGTCTAGGAATGGATAATGGTGAATATATGTAGTCATGTAGAAATGAGTCAAGTTGATATAACAGCTCCCTGCACTCTCACGGTTCCTTCCCCCTTCTTCAATAAACATTAAACACCAGTGTTTCTTCTGCAATTCCCTTCCCTTTCCTCCCCTTTCAATTGCTCATTTTCATCTCATTATTCATAGCAAAAGCAATGGTGATTTTCAGTACACATACATTTGCATACGTAAATCAATGGAGCACAGATGCGACAGATAACGGCAATTTTGAACAGAAAGCATATCGACAAGCGAGAATGAAATGGAACTATTATCACAATTTGGAACTCACAGGCAGATCGGAGAGAAAGCTGGAATCGAAATCGAATCGAGCTAGAAGGATAGCATTGGGGATACCACTATTCCCTTCGCCGCCCCCTCCAGCCATGACGACGTAGTTGTGGGTGGCGATCAGAGGCGACTTGTCGGCGGCGTCCTTATCGTCACCATCTCCCTCTGGCGGCGGTTTGGGAGCAGATCTGATGGCGCCAGGTGGAACCCAGGCAGCTCCGTAGACTGGGACCCCATACTTCTTGCAGCTTTCATCGTTGGCCATAATCAAGTCTGCGGGTGATCTTAGAGTGTGAAACTACTGAAGATCTGTGTTTCGATGTCCCCTATTCAACACAGTGAAGTCGATGACATTCGTTCATCCGGCTGTATAATATGAAGGGGCGATTTGCACATTGCAATATACTTTTGGGGTTAAATTGAAATATCCAAATCTTTGGGGGCAAAGTATCAAAGTTGGGGCGATTTGCACATTGCAATATACATTTGTGGTTAAATTGCAATATCCAAAACTTTGGGGGCAAATTAGTGAAAGTACCAAAGCTAGAGTTAGATATTAAAAAAAGAAAAGAGAGAAGGGTCAAATAGGCCCCTAAACTTTACCCAAAAGGTCAATTAGCCCCTTAAATTTTATAAAAGTGCAATTAAATCCTTAAACATGTCAAATTAGGTCAACGAAGCCTAAAAACTGGTAAATGACCTGTTATTACAGGTCATTTGAATTCCGGCAACAAATTCCGACGACCGGGGAAAAAAATCCGGTCACCGGCGACATATCCCTACTGCCGGTTGTCTTCCGGAGAAGACGACTGGACAGTCGCCTTCTCTAGTGGAGAAGAAGAACGGCCAGATCTGGCCGTCTTCTCCATTGGAGAAGGCGGTCGTCCGGTCGTCTTCTCTGGAAGACGACCGGCGGCCGGGATTTGTCGCCGGTGACCGGATTTTTTTCCCCGGTCGTCGGAATTTGTTGCCGGAATTCAAATGACCTGTAATAACAGGTCATTTACCGGTTTTTGGGCTTCATTGACCCAATTTAAAATGTTTAAGGGTTTAATTGTACTTTTATAAAGTTTAGGGGGCTAATTGACCTTTGGGGTAAAGTTTAGGGGCCTATTTGACCCTTTTCTCAAAAGAAAATGCTTTTTAAACTACTCGTGGAATCGCGCATTGCACAAAATATTGGCATTGCTTGGCAATTGAGTGTTAGCGGATTGTGATTATGGTTTTGACTAAAGAATTGAATCCGCGATTTCTAAAAAGATATTTAGTAAAATTAATTGTTAATGTTAGCGATTAATATACAAAATGACTTAAATATGTTATCAAAATGTGAGATAATCAACTAACAAATCAAATAAGTTTATCTTCAACTTTATTTACAAACTTTTTAAAGTAAAAATTTCACTATGAATCTAAACATTGTTACTACAATTACCACAAAACATATGAATCTAAAGCTAAACCTAAACCATATTCTGTTGCCACAGTTACAGGTTCTTGGGAGAGCTACATCGTCGACAATTACACATAACCTCTCAATTTATTGCTCGTTTCGATTAATTCGCTTTAATAATTCGGTAATTATCTTCTTTGATCAATAACACATTGGGGGGTCAAACCATTTTTGAAATTCATATCCAACCATTCCCTGTAAACATAAATTATAAACATTAAACCGCAAAATTAATAATAAAAATAAAAAATAAAAAGATAACAATTTTGACTAACATTGCTTCCTCTACAAACTCAAAATCTCCGATTGGGATTTTCAATAGTCCATGATGTTTGTATGCTCCATTGTGAAATCTTTGCCTTGTGAAGTTTGTAGATGAAGTTGAAGATGAACTTTTCTGGCATTCTAGTTGATTATCCCACATTTTGATCGTAAATTGATGAGAACAAAAACCTAATTTGAAGAAAAACATGCGCAGACTGCTGAAAGGTAGTCGCATATTCATTAAGGGTGCGTTTGGAAACTCGAAAAATGACTTCTAAAAAATGTTTTTCGGATTTCCGGTGTTTGGCAAGAGGGAGGAAAATGATGTCTTACTCAAAAGAAAATGACTTCTCCTTTTTTTGGGGGAAAACCATTTTCCAAGGGATGCACATGCAAAATTTGTCGAGCCTAATTTCTAGCGGGCTTTTGCGGGTCGACCTACCAAGCCCATGGGCTAAGGTTCAAGCAACCGTAGCCCGCCCCATACGGGTTGGCAAGCCCACAAACTGACCCATGTTTTGTTTTTTGTTTTTTTTTTTGTTTTTTTTTTTTGTTTTTTTTTTAATTCAAAGTTAAAAAAAAAATTAAGTAATGTCTACAAATATTAACATTGTGAATTTGAAATCTAACTTTAAAGTCTGACAAAAATTAATATTAATTCAAAGTTCCAAAAAAAAAGTAAAATCTTCAAATAATATTTATTTTGTCATATTAAAAAATTAAAAAAAAAATTACATTTTAAAAAGTTTATATATATATATATATATATATATATATATATATATATATATATTATTTATATATTTATTTATTTATTTTTATTAGGGCCAACCCGCTGGTCTTAGCGGGCCAGGCCCGTTAGGCCCGCTATTTTGCGGGGGTTTTTTTTTTTTTTTTTTTTGGCCCTAATTCACGAAATTTATAATATATTATACGTTCAAAACGGATAATAGGTGAATGAGAAATTGATTCTCAAAGTATGTCTATTTTAATTGGAAAATGAAGCATACAATTCTGTTCATTTTTCTGCTCATTTTCCGAAAAATGAACCATACACAAAAAGACAGTTTCCGTTGTGCAGCCAAACACCAGAACGGAACTTATTTTCCAAAAATCATTTTCTTGCTTTCCAAACGGAACCTAAATTGGAGTGTAAAATATGAAATTATCCGTTTTACCATTCAATTTAACACCTACTTCACGCCAAAGTTAATGGATGACCATTTTGGCTTAAAATTTAATAGTTGGAGGACCACTTTAGTTGCAATTAAAGTCAATGAACCAATTTAAGAAAATGCTATAGTCGGATGACTATTTTGAAAATTAACTCTATATTAAACATCATACTATGCTAAATTAAATGAGATATAAATAAAATTATTATAAATATGTTATAAAAAATAATTACAATTGTATAGTTAAACATATACTACAATATAATAGAGTCAGTAATACTATTGTAGGTGGTGCAAATAGTAAAATAGGTGGTGTAAATAGAATTATCCTGGGTAAAATCCCTAACTATTGAGGATGCCCTAAGAACTTTTTTTTTTTTTTTTTTTTGAAAAATGGTGTAACCAATATATTAAATAAAAAACTGAACGATAGAGTCAGGAGGGATTAAATCACAATACATAGGGTGATCCTGATCATAGACTAATCTAGCGAGAGTATGCGCATGTAAATTGAGAGTTCTAGTAATAAAACTGAGCGAACAGTAAACGAAACTATTGATAGCTACCCTACATTGTTCAACCACAATTCCAACATAAGATAAATTCGGCGTAGCAATTGAACGAACCGCATTTTCCAATACGAGGCAATCCGTAAGAATATCCACCTCGTCCTCGTTTCGGTCCTTAAGCCAGGACAAGACCTCTTTGCATGCTAGTGCTTCCGCCATAAGAGGGGAAAAACACCCCGGGAGCTTCCCATTGGCTGCCGCTCTGAAAATACCATCGTGATCAAGTAAGACTGCCCCGTAGGTCGCCTGCCCGGTTGCCGAATCGTAACCAACATCGAAGTGGCACTTCATCCGCATGCACGCCGCTGCCAGCGTACCATCGGAGGTTGGCTGAGTCAGTAATACTATAAAAAAAAATACAATTAAGAACTTAGTAATACTCCAAGAACTAATAATAATTCTAAAATTGTACGGGTATTTAGAAGTTCATCAAATAATACTAACAGGGCGTTTGGTTGGAAGGGGGGAATTATGTGGGAAAGGAATTGTAATTCCATGGGAGTTGAATTACTGGGAATAAAGTGAGAATTTAAATTCCAGTGTTTGGTTGACAGGAATAGAATTACTGGGTTTAGGATTTCCAATGTTTGGTATACATGGGAATTGAAAGGGAATAAGTAGTATAAAGTCAAAAATGTCCATTATTGTTGTTAGACATTAATTTTAAGTTAAAAAAGGAAGGGGTAATTTTGACTCATCACTATCTTTTTTTCCCAGGAATTAAAATACCGGGGGGGGGGGGGACATGGGATTTTAATTCCATGAAAATGGGGGAATTGCAATTCCATGGAATTGTAATTCCCTCCAACCAAACTACGGAATTTAATGGCCTTTGGAATTAGGTGGGAATTAAGTGGGAAGGGAATTTAAAATCCCTCCAACTAAACGCCCTGTAATATTATACTATGCATGGTGAATAGAACAAGTATAAATGCATATATAATAGAGAGTAATATAGTATGGGGATTTGGGGATTTGCCGGTAGTGAGCAAGCAAAATAGTCAAGAAAATGGCATTTATCGAGAAGCCGTGCCGTTTTGGGCGTTATCTTTCGTTACAAACAACGTCATACTTGTGCTGCACTTCATCTCCGATCCCATCCCCTTTTTTCCACTCTTTCACTAATTACCATACTTAGACTACCTAGTACTCCGCGTTTTACTTCATTCCTAAACACTCTTCCTCTTTTCCAAGACACCCATCCATTTCATCACTTTTTTTGAAATAATATATATATACTTCAACTTTGCAAGATAACACTAGTAAAAATGTAACTAAGTGGCATAGACGACCACAAATCAAAAAGTTAATTTGATAACCACAAAGTTCTAATAAGTTTGAGTCTCTGTGGGAGTTTATTGATTTTTATAGTTTGAGCAAGTTAATTATGAACAGTCTAGGCTGATTTACATTATTGTAGTCATTTTTATGCTAGAATCTTCACTTGATGGAGTAATAACTACGAGTTTTTTAATAAATCAAAATATAACTCAGTTAAACTTAGGCATCCCCTTCCCTAAAAAAAAAAAAAAAACTTAGGCATCCCCTACCTTAGATATATTGTGATATGATTTCCGATATATGAATAATTTAAAAAAAAAAATGCTATAAACTCCTCCTTTGTTTTCTTTAATAACTTTCCTTCCTAATGTGACATTATCTTATTGATAGTTACATTTATTTTTTATTAGTAGTGAAGTCAACCAATAAATAAAAATCACAGGTCAAAGTACCTATGAAGTCCCTGTACTATAGTGTTTTGTTCAATTTAGTCCTTGTACCTTTATTATGTTCAATTTAGTCCCTCTATTTTAAAAAGTGGTAAAACTAAGGACAATTGTCTAAATCTCATTACGAACATGGTCGTAATTATTTATTTTGGACATACTAATTTAATATATTGGTGGTAAAATGATAGATTTTAAATATTTATAAAGTAATATATGAGTAGGAATATAAATATCATCAGTGCCACGTAACCTAAGTTAACGATAATATTAACATCGTTAACTATTGTCCTTAATTGCACTACTTTTGAAAGTACAAGGACTAAATTAAACAAAATAAAAGTATAAGGACTAAATTGAACAAAACGCTATAGTACAGGGACTTCGTAGGTACTTTAATCACATTATAAGGTGAATGTTTGGAGGGAAAATAGGAGAGAAAAAGAGTATTTCCTTTTCAAAATTTTAACTTAAGATTTCTATATATGAGACAATTCTCTTAAAAGTGATGTTACATATAAGACTTAGAGTTGAAGTAGCAAGCAAATAGGTGGCAATCGATGAGGCAAGCTAAGCAAACCCGGGAGAGTGGGCAAAGGCAGCGAAAAGGCGAGAAGGCATAGTCGAACACGATACAGCAGTTAGAGTTTCGTGCACCAACCTAAACCAAAGATTACGCCATTGAAAATTGGTTTCGTATTACCAAAATCTCCAAACCTTGAAATTCAGCACTACTATTGAATTTGAAGTATTAAACAATCTATTTTTCTGGGGATTAAATTTGTGAAAAGATGGTTTTGCACGTGTTTCTATTGTCCAAAGGCCGAAGCAGAAATGGAGTTTCAAACTCTCAAGATTCAATGCCCTCTTTCCAGCCTTAAAAATAGGTTTTTGAGTCCCACCCGTGCGCCTGCGACTTTGACCAACCATCACAAACAATAACACCCACTCAACCAAACTCTTTATTCTATATATACATGACTCACTTAGTAATTATAAAATTACAAATTTAACTTTTAATGAAAGTAATTTATTGGTCATTTGGTATTTTTACCAATTATGATTAAGACTTACTTAGTGTAGACCCTCGAGTAGTAACTGTAAATTTCTCTTGTTGTCCCAAAAGAAATCTCAAATCCAAGCAATCCTAGCCAAGTTAGTCAACAATTGACTTAGTATGGACATTCTTGGTTTGAGCTAGTCAATTAGTAGTAGCTGCAAATTTCTCTTATTGTCCCAAAACGGCCAAAAGAAATCTCAAATCCGAGCAATCCTAGCCAAGTTAGTTAATAGTTGACTTAGTAGTTAGTATGAACATTCTTGGTTTGAGCTGGTCAAATATGAACAACTTGGGCTAGTTCACCTTATTGTAATCTTTTATTGATTAGGGTCACAAGACAGACTTCACAAGTAGTGACTACGAGTGTTTCTATAAATCAAAAATATCTTAAATCCGTCATAACTCAACTAATTAATCAATAAAAAAGTTAATAGTTTTGGCACGATAAGTCGATAATAACTTTGTTTTGCTAACAACTCTAGATTGCAGGGTAGGGATAGGTCATCGGTTGCATTTCAATTTTCTTTCTTTATAGACTTTAAGATTAGTATTGTCTGGATTTTTGCATCGGTTGCATTTCAATTTTCTTTCTTTATAGACTTTAAGATTAGTATTGTCTGGATTTTTGTTTTAGTAACAAAAAATGTTAAATATTCTTCCATGTGTTGCAAACATTTATGCTAACTGAGAATTATAGTACAGCACCAAATGTTTATTACTACTTAATTCTGTCTATCTGACCCCCTGCCTGCATTTACTGTCAATCTGCCATTAGAAGAACATCCACCATAAGTCAGCTAAGCTGAGCTCTAATGGATGCCATCATTTCCACCCCAAAAGGACCTGTGGGCCTCTCAAGTCCTCGTTCATCTCCCAATGTTGCAGCCCTCCTCAAGATCAAGATCATTTCTTGGTACAATTTCCATTTGCTTTTTCTGAATCTTTAAGGTCAATTATTATATGCAACCTTTCTGAAACTAATGGCTTTGTCTCAGGAGCCAACAAACTGGATTGCCGGTTTCTGTTCGTGTTCACTTTGCTAATAGAACTTATAATCTGCACAAGGTGAGTATGCTAATAACTAATAAGATCATCATAATTTTGTATATTTAATTTCTTGATTTTTACTTTTTAGCATCTGCTGTTATCAAAGAGTGGGTACTTTAAGAAGAAACTGAATGAATCAGAAGAGGTTGAGCTGCCAGATGATTTCCCTGGAGGGCCAGAGACATTTGAGGCAATAGCCCTCTTCATCTATGGATCTCCCACGCTAATCGACCCGTTCAACGTGGCAACCCTGAGGTGTGCAGCCGAGTTTCTCGAGATGACAGAAGCCCACAGCCCGGGCAATCTGTGCGAGCGTTTCGACATTTATCTGAACCAGGTCGTGCTGCAGCGCTGGGACGACACTCTGGTAGTCCTGCAGAGGTGCCAGTCCTTGCTCCCGGGGGCCGAGGATTTGCTGATCGTGAGCCGCTGCATCGAGTCTCTGGCGTTCATGGCGTGCATGGAGATTCTCGACCCCGAGAGGAGACGGGATCACCCCATTGTCACACTGGAGGCACTGGCTACTGTGGCTTGGAGCTGCCAGGACCAGACAGTACTAAAACAGATTCTCAGACAGGATTTGTGGATTAAGGATCTCATTGCTTTGCAGTTCCCGTTCTTCAAGAGAGTAATAGCATCACTGAGGAGACAAGGCATGAAGGAGAAATATGTTAGTCCCATCATCCTTTTCTACGCGAACGAATGGGTGATATCTCGAGTTCAAGATGACACAATAAAGATGACCCTAAAAGGGATTCTTGATTTGTTGCCAATGGGGGAGAAGGCAAGTAAGCTGATCCCAGTTGGTTTCTACTTCTCCTTGCTCTCCAGATCCCTCGAGGCCGGTTTGACAAATGACAGTAGAGAAAAACTGCAGCATCAGATTGCCTCCCAGTTGCATTTAGCTCAGGTGGAGGACTTTCTGCTACCAAATAATGAGTTGGAAACTATGAAAAGGATCTTTTCCATATATGCAGCAACAGCCTTCAACATGGAGTTAAACCCCACTACCCCTTCCCCGAGAAACTCCGCGGTGGCTGAGCTATGGGATGCATATCTAACCAAGATAGCCGTCGATCCACAAGTCACTTCAAAAAGATTCATGGAGCTCATAGAAACCTTGCCCTTGTCCTCCCGGCAATCTCATGATCACCTCTACAGAGCCCTCGACACATTTCTTGTGGTAAGTCCGAGACTCGAACCCTGCTCTGATACCATTTGTTAAGATCAAGTAGGGTGTTGGACTTGGCCCTTCAGGTCTTCGTCCAACAACCCCTGGCCCACCAGGTGGTGCTGGACTTGGCCTGAAAGGCCAAGTCCAGCAATCCCTTTCATATGCCATTTTCATGTGTTTCGTTTCAACTTATTTTAGGCACATCCAAGCATATCACAAGATGAGAAATGGCAAGTATGCAAGTACCTGAATTGCCAGAAACTGTCACAAGAAGTGTGCATTGAAGCAGTACAGAATGAGCTGATGCCTCTGAGGCTCATTGTCCAGGCTCTATTTGTTCAGCAGCTCAACACCCAACAGGCATTCAAAGAATGTTCAGACTCATTTCGATATACGAACGGCGGAGAGTTCTCTGGCAGCATTTCAAGCTCAAGATACACAAATCCCAGAAGCCAAAACCTGGAAGAAAGTCCCTGCATCGACAGAAGTGAAAGGAGCAGCAGACCACTAGGGTTCTTGCTGCAGAAAGACAAGTCCGAACTCTCAAAGAAGGATTACGAATCAACAAGCTTCAGAATCCAGAACCTCGAACAGGAGCTCCAGTCCTTGAAACGAACCCTCGAGCTGCAACACATATCAAAGAAAACAGCGCCACCTGCAAAGAAAGAAAATTCTCAACACGTGAGACCATTTGGTCTCGAAGGAAGGACTCCGAGCAGGAAGAGGAAGCCCATTGTTCACATGGCTAACTGCATAGGATCTGTGAATTTTGCATCCCATAGAGGGTATGCCACGAGATTACTGAAAGTTTTAAGGAGAATTAGTTCTTTTGGCAGAGTCAAGTCAAGAAGGACAAGTGCCTCGGGTATTAAACAGAAGAAATTGTAGCTTGTTGAACTACAGTTTTCATGCATGTAAGTTGGTAATTGAATGTTTGAAGAACTTAATCATGTAAATGGCAAGTAATATCAGAATAAGCAGTCATTTGATCTACTGTGTCTAATGACAACCTTTGTTTAGGATCATTTGCTGTCACAAAAGTACAAAACCAAAGATTACATGACATAATTCACAACCACTCAGATATAAGGAAATAGAATCCAACATGCCCGCATGGACAACTCAATTGATTCTTGGATGGTAGATTCTGGATTACACCTAATGTGGTGGGCACCAAATACTAATCCTTAGATATGATTGCAGTTCAATTCGAGTTCCGATGGTTCACAATTCCAAGAAATGATAAACTAGAACCGGAACCTTTTAAGAACTACAAATTCAAACTTTATTTTATTTTGTAAAATCTATTCCCACTAATCCATGCCTTTCCATCTTTTTTTCCCAGTTTTCAATTCAAACCAAACTGTGATCATCTGTACCAATCCTTCCACTTAATACCCCACTAAATCACAGTGATTTACTCTTCACTGTCCTACCAAACAGATTGTAGGGAGGGAATTTAGCCCCTTATGGGCAAGGAAATACAAGTGATTAATTATTCATTGAACACCAAGAATTATACTCCATTCTTTTCTTCTTTCAATAAAATCAAGATATATGGAGTACAACAAACATAATCTGTCATAATTTATCTTCACACATATTAGGAAATACTTGATAGAGCATTTTCATAGAATAAAACTTGTAAACTAGGTACAATACATGCTGGAAATATCATTGAGCAACTGATGAAGCTGCCTCTGCAATAAGGTCACCCTGAATCTTCTTTGTGGCTTGCATGGCAGAATTCCCATTGACATAATGCTCTCTACAAACAGGCATATACATATCACAACCACCAATTAGCTCTGTCTCTTTCTCTTCAGTCTTCCTATAGGTGAAAAATGCCTTTCTGCCACACAGTTCACATCTGGCAGTCAACTTTGTAACAGTGTCAGCAATTGGAATTATGTCAAGAACTGAGCCAAAACTCCTCCTTAAATAGTCACCATCTAGGCCAGCAACAACCACAGTCTTCCCATCAGTGTCAGCAGCCTCACAGCAGAAATCGTAAAGATCACCAAAGAACTGGGCTTCATCAATACCAATCACATCCACCTGTCAACACATGGGGCAGATTAGGGGACACACAAAAGGACTGTAAATAGTAAATACATACATGAAATAATGGAAAACAACTTAATTTATAGATTTTTCAGAACCATTGGCCTAAAAATGATACCTTTTCATAAGCTTCTATCCCTAAAGCTTGCTTGAATGAAGAGAGATCTGGCAATGCCCAGCAGGGGAATTTAGCGCCATCGTGTGTGACAACCGCATCAACTGCATACCTCGTATCCTTGCTCGACTTTATCATCACAACTTCTCTGATTCCCACAAACAATTACAGATTACTTCCTTTTTTTCTTTTAATATAATTTGAGTTAAAACAGTTCATTTTTTCCCTCTCAACTAGTATTGCAAAGGAAAGAGAGAGTTTTAATACATATCATGTAAGCAATAAGATCCAAAAACATTTGAAAATCACAATTGCACATATTTACATTGTTTGATGGTTCAATTGTACAATTTTTAACTGCAATTACCCAATTGCACAGAAATATAACTTGAGTGACTCATTTAACACTTTTCCTTTGCTTAAGAAGAATATTAAAACTGATCATCGCGGGAATACCAAACAGTATTCAAAATTGGAAATACGAAGAGGTACCTGCCGATGTTGGACTCATATTTGACACGGCGGAGAAGGGCGGTAGTCTTGCCGGCGAACATGGGGCCAATAATCACGTGCACTTCTCCACCTGAGAGCAGCTGCTGAGGATTCATGCCCGCTCTCCGCGACGGGTCGGGTACAGAAACCCGATGCTTGAACGCGCCAGACATATCGTGCAGTCAACTGATGTATGTGATCGCAATGAATGTCAATGCGTGAATTTGTGTGGATAACGGGGAGTTTGATTTAGGGTTATATAGAGCGTGGAAAGCCATGGAAACGTGCAGAGGAAGTGTTGCGGTTTTGAAATTTGGAGGGAAAATCGATTTCCCAAACGTCGCTTTTTTGGCTCTTTTTTGAAATTTTGGATGAAAGGAAGTCAAGGAAGACGAAGATGAAGGGAGCGGAAAAAATGGACAAATTATGCCCTGGACCCGTGTCCACAGTGAATTGTGGACACGGGCCCAAAACGACGTCGGTTTTAAAAAAAAACGCGTCATTTAGTTAAAAAAAAAATTACGCGCGTTTTGCCGTTAACGGCGTTATTTTTTTTTTTTTTTGATTATGAATGTACAGTTATGCCGTTATGAATGTACAGTTATGCAATTATGAAATTATGAACACAGAGCTCTAACATTATGAACTTACAATTATGAACATATATAGTGATAAAATTATGACCATGGAGCTTTAAAATTGTGAATATAGAGCTTCGAAGATTATGAATGTACAGTTATGGAGTTATGAATCTACAGTTATGGAGTTATGAATCTACAGTTATGAGATTATGAATCTACAGTTATGGAATTATGAATGTACAGTTATTGATCGAATTATGAACAAAGAACTCTAACATTATGAACTTACAATTATGAACATATAGTGATAAAATTATGAACATAGAGCTCTAAAATTGTGAACATAGAGCTTCGAAAATTATAAATGTACAATTATAGAGTTATGAATGTACAGTTATGGAGTTATGAATGTACAGTTATAGAGTTATGAACGTACAGTTATGGAGTTATGAATGTACAGTTATTAATAATATAGTAATAAAATTATGAATATATACTCCTATAACAAAGCGGTCTGAAATTAAACAAAAAAAAAAAAAAAAAAAAAAAAAGAGATAACAGTGCCTATGCTGGACACGGGTCCAACGCATAACGATTGAAAAAATGAAAATAAGGCTTTTCTTTGGGCTTCATTATACACTGGCCCAATTTTGAAACGGATTTAATATGACAAATTAAGGACAAATTATATCGTGCACCAAGACGTACAATCCCAAAACAATATCGTTATAAATAGTAATGATTGTGGACATTATTGTGTAACGGTTTCCTTTATGTCTCCATTATTGTATTCCGTTACACTTGTTATTATATATATGTCATTCTAATGTAATGATCAGGGGTGTGGTATAAAGGAATAAGAAACCATCTATTTTGTCTCTACTCTTCTTCTTGTTCTTACTGTTCTTCACGAGCTAAAGGCATGCAAACAAACTTGCAATACAACACGTTATCAGCACGCTCAATCCAGGTGAACGGTAACTTTTATGAGTTTTTTATGCCTTATTATTTTCCGGATGCCTCAAAATCATATGTGTTTATGCTTTATGCATTTTTGAATTTATGAAAACTTGATCATATGATTATATATTTTTGATAATATACTTCTGCATTCGTAAGTATATACTTACTGTGAATATGTATATCATGAATGAATAAGTTTACTGTGCAAATACATATATTTCGTAGCAATGAACCAAAAATATTGATGTTGATGAATATTTGATGAGGAACCAAAATTTTTTGGCCTATGCTTATACGTGACTTCATATCAAATATGCGTACAATTTTTCTTGCAATATCTAAAATTCTAGTTGCTAGATGTACTAAGTCTGGAATTTTGCATATGATATATTTTTTTTTTCCGGAAAAATTGTATTGCTTTCAATATATACACTATTTTTTACATACTGGCATGAAAAATATGATTGATTAATTATTTTTGGTATGATAATTCGTTTAGTACAATGAGAAATTGTTTAGAATGAGTTTTTTTCATACCTTTCTTCCCCCTCCATCGCCGTCGCGCCTGTCATCTGAGCCACGTCGGAGGTGTTGCAGCGGCGGCATGGGGCGGCTATTTTTTTGCGACGGCTGTCCAGCAGTCCAGCCCCTGTTTTTAGAAGTGATCGGAGAGGGACAAAAATAGATCCCGTTTTTTTTCGGCCGATCGTCCCCCATGTTTTTCTGATCTGCACCATCATCGCATGGTGGGCTGTGAGGATGGCCCTATGGGTGGCCGCGGTAGAGGCGAGCGGCGGCTATTACGAAGATCGTGGCCGCGTTACTGACGACCGGTGGTGGTCTGCGGCAAGGGCGGCGATCAATAATGGCGGTTGGCGGAGGTCTCTTCGTTTTATCGAAACCGTTTGCGTAAATACAAGCTCCATAACGCCAGAAGCGTTATTAATTTCGCGTTGTTTACGGATGATTTTTGCTTTTATTCCTAAAAAAAAAAAAAAAAAAAAAACAACGCCAGAAGCGTTAATTCCTACTTAGGATTTGGATTGGACCACCTTTAAAATAAATGGACCATATTTATTTTTGAACCCTTCTTACATAAAAATCCTAAGTCCCATATTTTTTTTATAAAATATGTTTTTTCCTTGGTCCTCATTAAAACTATTTCCGGTAGAAAATAGTTGCTCTTGAAAAAAGAGAATTCACTGAGCTCGCACTCAATGAAAGAAATTTCTTTATTTGGGTGTTTGATGTCGGAATATATCTTGCATCTATAAAACTGCCAAACACCATCAAAGAGGCATCTACGAGTATTGAGGCCCAGAAGGCAATACCGCTCATTTTTCTTCGTCACCACCTTAACCATGACCTCATACAATGAATATTCAATCTCTATTCCATGCCTTCGAGCATGCTTCTGCTTGAACGATTCTTTCATATCTGAATGCAAATATACCATATAGTGGATCGTTCTTAAGCATTATCTTGATACCCATTTTTTCTCTCAATTATATTGTGGGCTGTTTTTGGAATAATAAAATATTCCTAATAATTCTTGTAGCTTATGCCATATGCTTTTGCATCCCGTCGATGCGCATGCATAGAATTAGAGAGCTTAATTAAAATACATAATATTGTGACACTTTCTTGATGTGACCACCAAATACATTGTATGGTCGGTGCACTTGTTGTCAAGTGTCAAATTTTTGTTGTGTCACAAATTGCTATCTCATGCCTTACAGGATGTGAGTCATCACAAAAGAGCATTTACTGATTTGCTCTTGATGGTAGCAATTGTTTGCTATACGCCATATATTTTAAGATTTATTATAAATCTTACTAGAAGCTTTGCCCGGATGGCAAATCAAAGCCACTGTTTATTATGGGACAATCCTTGAAGGATCGTTTTAATCAACAAGTGGTCATAGTCTGAATTCTAAATATAGTTTTGCCTAGAAGGTAAATCAAGAGCACTATTTTTATTTGTCACCCGTTATCTTGCCCCAACCCTCGATTATAGATATTTGATCTAAAAGGATTTATAGACCCTAAGTCAATCCCTGAAGGATATTTGGTGTATGCGGGTCTTATTGTCAATGGTCGTATTGTACTCCAGTAGTAGTACATGACAAAATTATGCTAAGTGTTTGGTCATTGGGCTATTTTTTTAATAAGGTCTGGAAGACCCTGAATGTGGATTGATCTTTAAGGTGACTAATGACTCATGAATGAAGTTTGCAACTTCTATTTCTAATGCTATGCTACTCTCCAAAAGTCAATATTGACTCACATCATGTTGGTTTGCCTGAAGCAAACAAGTTGTGATTTTTTTTTACACATAGTAATCACTGCCTGAAAATTCTGACCGGCGCAGTTTGAAAATTAAATTCGTGAAAAATACTTGTTGAACTCCTTTTGGCATGAAATTTTTTCTGGAGAACCTAGACTCGTGATATTTGATGTCTGTAAAAATATTTTGTTAAAAATATGCTTTGGTTATTCCAGAAAAATTTGTAAAGTTTTGGCAGTGTGCTGCCAATTATTTTTCTGCCTGGAGCAATGTTGTGAAAAATTTCAGAAAAAATACTTTCACACCTTGGATTGAAATGAAAATTTTTATGTACGTTCTAGACTTACTGAACTACATATCTGCCAAATTTTGTGTCAAAATGTGTTACCTTTTTCCCCCAGAAAATTCTGCAATCCAGGTCAAAATTCTGAAAATTTTCTGCCGTTTTCAGCTTGTATATCTTGCTATTTTGTGATGTTTTCATGCTGAGATATGAAACTATGAAATAAAATGAGAGTTTGCTTGGAAAAGTGCTGTTTTTGACGCCCCGAAATAGGAATGAATGGGCCTGGCAGCGAACATGTGCTCATTATTATTCGGCGAACGGTACTTCTCTCATTTTTCTAATTTATGAATTAATAAACAATATCTCTTGTCATGTCATGCCTTGTGTGTACCAAACATGATATTCTTTATTTAATGGATGTGCATGACTCAGTTGAGTGTTTGGTGTCCAAGACATAAGGGACAATTATATCACATGTTGCATGTGCTTCTCTTTAATTGACAACATTTAGCATATAATCTCTTGATTATGTTCACATAAGAGATTTTGTTATTTATCTTGTTGGCAATTTATGATTTGCTATAGGCCATAGCTATTGAGATTTATCACCCAACTTATAAGTGGGAAAATAGCATGAATTCTCAATATGGTTAGGTTGCACCTGTCGTTGCTAAACCTTAGCTTGCATGTGATAATAGTTAAAGGCTATGGCATGTTTACAGTGCTAGTTTCTGCTATAGAAACTTTTTGACATGAGATTTGGGCATATGATATTTAAATTTATAGCCCTCATTATTTTGTATATTTATTTGCCCTGAAGGTAGATTAAGGATTTTAATTCTCTAAGTCATCCTTTTAGGATGAATCTTGACAATGAATTCTTGACCAAAAATGGTCAGCCTATCCCATCAATCCCCGAAGGATTGTTTGACGTTACTATGAGTCAAATTCTTTTTATCCAAGTCTAACTCAATGCATATCACAAATCAATCCCTCAAGGATTGCTATACCCCCTTTTTCACCTAGTACGTGATTTCAGAAGTAACATTTTCCTATTTGCGTTATTTTATTTGCGCAGTCTATTTTATATCACCACCACAACGTACCTCTAAAAGGGCTATCAAAGAAACCTCCGTCTATTGA